ATCCAACATATCAGAACAAAGTTAAAGCTCACTTTCTCATTTTAAAAATTTTCATAAAAAAACAAATTATTAAATAACTGATCGAACATTAAGTTTCGATAATAAAAAAAAAACAATTCTTCTTTTTTTTGAAATCTTTCTAAATAAGATGAGGATTTTTTTAAAATGTTAATACAACATCAAAAAACAAAACAAAATGTGTACATTCAGTTCAAAAATTTTTGCCTATCTTCACATCTAAGTGCTCATCAAAAATGTCTAAAAAATTCATCAATAGTAGCATTACTAGAATAATATTCTGCTTTTATTTTTTGTTCGTCTAAAATGTTTTTCTAAGAAATGATGATAGGTTACTCAATCTGTTTCTATTATTGCTGATAATACTTTATTAGAAAAAAAAAAAAAGAAGAAAGAAATCGTGTATACTATGATTAATAATTCATTTTAAAGAGCCGCCTCTAAGATCTTGAACATGGTAAAGAAAATAAAAATAAAAATATGTTCTTTTTTACTTTGAAATATGAACCATCGTACTACTAAAGTTTTGATCACGAATAATAGGTGTGAGATGAAAAAACTGCGGTATTATGTGTAACATTCTCTGTCGTTCCTGCCCCCCCCCCCTCCTTTCCATATTTTTTATCTCTTGCTCACCTATACTTTCGAGTCTAATCTCCCAATTGAATGTCAAAGTTAAAGAACACGCAATCACAATACAGTCAAGTTTTTTAGAAGTGAAAAGAGAAAAATTAAAAACTCCCTACTTCAAAACAAAAGGTTTTCTATTACTTTTTATTGTTTAACTAAAGTGCAAACTCTAAAAGAGAGATTCATTAGAGGTCGGCGAGTAAAGACTTTTCATCTGGAAAAAGAAGTATGATACACCATCAAATATAGATATAAAATGATGATGGTCTAGTGAATTTAGACATTTGAGTTCTTGATAGAAAAAAAAAGTGTCCATTTTGATTGATACTGCATTGTTCAAACAAGAAGTTTATCAATAATATTTTATATGTTTAAATTTTGATTTACCGAGCTCCATTTCAACTTATCATCGATTAGTGAAACGTCACAATTAAAGTATGTGAAAATGTACAGCTTTTTCTCGTTTTATTGTTTATTATCGAAAGGAGAAGAAGAAAAAAACCGGAAAATTATTTTTAATGCAAAAAAGAAAAAAAAGTTTTCGTTTTTTTTCTTCTTCTCTCTATGTATGTGTGTGTGTGTGTGCGATGTGTTCAAAAAAAAAAGGGAGAGACAAAAAAATAAGTATCTCATTGGAGTATCATCGATTAAGAGAAAAAAAATCATCTTAACGGAAAAGCCGAATTGTATAGTCAAGTAGTTAAAAGTAATTTACGCCTCGGGTAGCATTAGATAAAAAGAAATTCATAAATGCCAGGTAAAAAAGTCTTCGTCTTAAATATTATAATTCATCAACAAAAGTCTGTTTGTCAATACTAATAGAGTGGTGGTTGTTTTAGAGGAATGAGTTCGCATCTTCAGAATCCACAGAAGTCATACTAAAAGCTTCTTTTTCTAAAAAGAAATAGATAAATTTTACGCAGATGATGAGCATCAAGCATCCAAAATTATTGACAATATTACTAAAGTAGAAAAAACGGTTGAAGGCAAAAAAAGACTGATGAGTTAGAAGGACAAGAGTCTATAGGTTAGATATCAATTTCAGTTTTTTGTTCACCAAATTAAACTATTAAACGACATTTGAAAAAAACAGTCGGATAAAAAGATTATTCGTCAATGTTCCTTGATACCGATGGTATAAATAAAAGTAAATTTTATCTTTTAAGGAGATCGATTGTTAAATATTCCTTGTAAAGTATGTGGTGATCGAAGTTCTGGCAAACATTACGGAATCTATAGTTGCGATGGTATACGTCTTTTTTATAATAGATAATTATTTGAGATTTAATTGTATTTTTTGATCTTATCTGTAGGTTGTTCAGGATTTTTTAAACGTAGTATTCATCGTCATCGACATTACGTCTGTAAAGCACAAGGTGAAACGAAGGATAAATGTCCTGTGGATAAAACTCATCGTAATCAATGTCGAGCATGTCGATTACAAAAATGTTTTGCTGTTAATATGAATAAAGATGGTATGAAAAACTTAAAAATAAACGTCCTAATTGCATTTGAAAAAATAATTCTTTTATTTTTCTAGCTGTACAACATGAACGTGGACCAAGAAAATCAAAGTTAAAATTGCAACAAGACTTATCACCACCATCGACATCATGTTCTTCCAGCAAATGTGTTTCTCGATCTAAAAAGAGTTGGACATTATTTAGTCCTCCAAAAATTGAGCCAGGATCGATAATTTTGAGCCAGGTTTGTAGCTTTAAGATTTAATATATATATATAGAGAGAGAGAAAAACTCAAATTTAAATAAATTGTCTTGCTGTTTTTTTTAGACAACATTGTACGAAGCAGCTGCTCGTCTATTGTTTACAATGAGTAATTGGTTACATACTGTTCATACTTTCAAATCATTGGATATTGAAGATCAGGTGAAGATTTATTTAATTTTATAGTGGTTAGATAAATATTTTTTTTTCTTTAAATTGTAGAAATGTTTATTAGAAGATAGTTGGCATCGTATATTTTTAATAAATCTCAGTCAATGGATATTACCAATTATGTCAATTCAGTTAAGTTCTCTAATGACAAGTCAAATTGATACTCAAATGATATTGGATTGTGTTTACAAATTACGATCCTTATCTTTGGATTTTTATGAATATACATATGCAAAAGGAATTACATTGTATCAAAAACCAAGTAAGTATTGACCTCTCTCTCCTTTTCTTTCATTTAATACTATTTCTATTTTAGTACTATCATCAAACAAAATTTATATTGATTCATGTCAAGAATATATCATGTTTTTATTACGTACAACTCTGGCAAACAACAGTACATCATTAAAATTTAATCAATTAATGACAGTATTAAATCAATTAAATCATATATCACAAAAAATTGTTCAAGATTTATTTTTTCCAAGTATTGGTACAGTTCCTGTTCAAAAACTATTGTGGGAATTATATAAAAATAAAAACTTTGCCAATGCTGAACCAAATAACGTCTAATTTGAGTCTCTTTCTTTTTTTTGTCTCAGTAATGTAATTTTTTTCTCTAGTCAACCCTCTATTACCTGTTAAGTCTACAAATAAACTTCATATTTCAACAATATACGTCAGATGAGGCCTTATTTTTAAAATTATTTGACGATTATGAGTGGTTTAAATCATTGGAGATAATAATTGTAGGACACTGAGTATGTACCAATTCTTTTTCGAAAATTATTAAAAGAAAATGTTAAGTTCGAAAACTATTTGAATAGTTTTTGAATGTATAAGATTGTCATGTGTGCTTTTCTCCACAACAGGATATATAATCGGGTATTTGTATTCCATTTAATACAGCAAAAACAAGAAAAATGTTGATCAGGTTCTAATGCTTGTTTTTTTTTAAAAAAATGTTTAACACAATGTTGAATCTAAAACTGTTACTAAATTCCCAAATAGTTTGCTTTCTAGAAAAAAAAGTCTTGACTACAATCTTACAAGATGAGTAATAATTGGTATCAAATAGTGCGTGATACGACTCTTTTGCGACAAGGATTTCGTCCTGTGAGTTACTAGGTGTGTAAAATAGCGTGGTAAAATGTAAAATGTACTTTTTCTAGACGGCCAATCTCAGTGTGTTAAATGCTAAGTGTATTAAAAATTTTTAGTAATTTTCATTTTTCTCGCTAGCTACTGCATCAAATGAAAAAATAATTTCAAAATTATGATCATATTCTTCAAAAGGATGTATACTGTCACTTGGAGGCAAAACGAATAACAAAAAAAGAAAAAAAAATCCATCGCTATATGTGAGATTCGAACAGTCGATCAATGAATCTGAAGCACAGAGGATTTGCATAACCAGACTGACCATTGATCTCAGTGTGTAAAGCTATATGGTCACTTCTTAGTGCGTATTATACACACCATACATTCTAGACGGGCACTGGGAATCTAGGTGCTTATTGTCAGTGTGTCATTTATACACTTTCTTTTACAGTGTATATTTGGTGTTTTTTATCACAATGAAGTGGATTCATTCGTATTCGCAACACTTTGTCCTATATCATATTTGACCGGCTGTCTCTTCAGTACATAGAAACACAAAGGTATCTATCGTTTTCTTGTGATTTTCAGTTGAAAAGTCTAGATTGTTCATAGAATTTAGCAATTTTTTCCACATAGATTTACAGGTATTTGTGTGTGCGTTAGAGAATTGTATATGAGAGCGAGTTCGAATAATAGTTTCTTAGTTAAGGTAATTAACTTACATGATGCAGCATTAAACCAGTGATAGTACTCAATGGTTTTTTTTAGTATATTCGGAATATATCGAAAACATAATTGTCTTTCAGTACATTAGATTTTTCAATTATATTTCAAAAATTAGAAATCTAAACCACTTCGAAGAAAAATTTGGCTCTAATTTCATTAGAAGAAGCAGAATTTTCAGTATCTTCGAATGCCTTAGAATTCTCAATGCCTTGTAAGACGTTAGATTTTGCAATCTATTCAGAAAATTTGGATTCCAAATATCTTCGAAGCTATTTAGGTTCTAAACACAGTTGAAGCATCAGAATATTAATTGTCTTCGAATGCATTTGAATCTTTAATTAGATTTTTCAACATTTTTGAAGACATTGGATTTTTCAATGAATTCAAAGATAGTAGAATTCAACATCACTCAACATCTTTGATCCCATTTCCATTTGTAAATTTTACATTTTTATTTTTATTGTACATTTTTGTAAATGCTTGAAATTTTGTGAATGTCTTTGAAGGTATTTGATATCGTAATCCGTTGAAATTCCACAAGTTGATTGATTCTTTTGTTCCCCTTCTTCTTGTCCTTTCAGTTTTTTAAAAAACCACTTTTCGGAAAAAAAAGTTTCTAATTTTTCACTAAATTCAGATACCTTAAGAACCTGAATGTATTCGAAGGAGTAGAAGTCTTTAAAGAATTGAATCTCTTCGAAGACAATACAATGGTAAAACTCGTTTGTTTATATCTTTCACGACATTCTTATTTCAAATATCTTTGAAATGTTTGAAAAATGTATAAAATAAAAGACATAGTATAATAATAAGAGTTTTCGAATCTTTCAAAACGGATTATACGGTTCGATAGAGCTCGTCAAGGTGCATCCGAGGATATACGTGGTTTGCTTAGAAGTAACTTCTTCATGGTGAAAAAATAGCAAAAAAATTGATATCTGTCGAGAAAAAACGTTTTTCCGAAAGAAAGAAAGTGTTTCTAATGCTCGTTTATATATCGTTAAATGCGTCAACAAGTTCTCTACCGAGTGCACTGCTGGACGTAAATACCAGTCCATTTTAAAAAATAAAATTTCTAACGTTACTTCAGGTAACAAATGGCTGACAGAATATAGAATTTCGAAAAAATTGGTTTTCGCCCATAACAACGCCTTGGTACAGTAAGATATTTTGTGGAAAACTACCAGAAGACTAGATGAATAAAACTATTCAAAAGGAATCTCAAAAAAATGTGAACCAATCAGCGAGATGTCCAAAACAGTATGATAACAACAATTTGCGAAGAACCTTAAAAACCGATTTTCAATTTTTCGCGCGTTTTAGCCGCTGTCTTTGACATCTGCGACCATATTGGTGATTGACAGATCAAAATCTATCGGAAAATATGATTGATGATCATAGCGGATCCATAAAGCATGGCGTAGTGTTAGCTGACACAAAGAGGGCAAATTTTCCATGTCATCGGCAATTTTTATTTCAGTGATGATGCCAAAAAGCTTTTTAGTATCCAGGATTGCAGAACTCGTCTTCCTCTACAAATCGGATACGAACACTTTTCCGTAGGATAACAAACAGAAAACATTTCCAGTTCAATAAGCACCTCGTACAATGTATACTTGACAATGGTGCCCTCATAGCTTATCAATACTAAGACCAATCTTTATGGAAATTTGATCATGGTCTCAATGTATGTTTCACATGTTGCAACAATCGTCTTTCTCGTAATCGACTGTTTTTTTAACAACAGTCGAAAAGGCTACGAAAATCAATCGCACTTGACATATACGTACACACAATAGAGGAAGAAACACAATAAAAAAGAACTACACTGTAAAAAATAAAGTGTGCCCAAAACACACTTAACTTGCACATCACTTTGATTCGCATTTGCACATCTAGAAATGCACGATGTGATGTGCCAGAAACACTGGCAAAATTTACACACCTGCGAATATAGAGACTTTTACACACCTAGAAAAGAACATTTACACATCTACGGGCACACTTTATTTTATTTACAGTGTACAAGAGAATTATAAACAACAGGGAAAGTCACATAGTTAAGTCTATTCACTACAGCCTTAACTGGATATTTATCCATACCAATCATCATACTTTCGGAAAAACGTTTTTTTCTCGACAGATATCAATTTTTTTGCTATTTTTTCACCATGAAGAAGTTACTTCTTAGTAAACCACGTGTATCCTCGGATGCACCTTGATGAGCTCTATCGAACCGTATAATCCGATTTAAAAGATTCGAAAACTCTTTTTATCGTACGGTGTCCTTTTGATTTTTGACTTTTTTTAAAATTTGTTTCCTGAGACATTTGCAAAACTACATGCAGGTCATTTTGGTAGAATGACTGACGAATGAAGAATCAGAATGTCTTTGAATACAGCGAAGTTTTCATGTATTCCAATACACTTGAACACATTCAATCTTCAAAGAATTAAAACTCTTCGAAGTATTTTCAAATCTAAATTTATTTGAAGACCTTCAAAAGAATGATCTATTTGAAGTATTATAGCTCTTCAAATATATCTAATACTTCGAATGTATTACAAATTTAAATTATCTTTTAGGACAAATTGTACTTCTAAGACGGAGTGATTCTGGTGATTTCTGTACTGTTTCTGAAGAAAAAAATGACCTAAAATGAAAGTGACCAGAAAAATATTTTAACACCGTACGTTTATAGAGGCTACTCGAAAATCTATAAAAAATGCTGTTTCCAAACTACCAAGTCCTTTTCTGCCCAAATACTGGTTGTTCATTTTTTAACTCAGGATCAAAAATGCGATTTTCTCTGCTTTTCTGCTAAAAAAGCATAACTGAGCTTAAAAATGTATTGAAATATAGGCTTTCACATATGTTCTATCGAATGGTATCCTTTAAAAAGGGTATTTGACAATTTCTAATCATGGATCTCTAGAAACCCAGGTTTTCTAGAAATCCTTTGCTGAGCTGATTTTCAGAAAACTGAGTAGGCCATTCGATTCAGGGTGTCAAAATACGTATACTCTTAAAATTTGCTGCTTTATATGCTAGCCATTACGATTCTAGAGATATGTTTGGGGGTGGGACAAAAAAGAGAAGTGGGACATTTCAGTGTATTTCTAAAATTCCCTTCTTTAGGAAGAAACCGAAGCCTAGATATCTACAGAACAACTTGTACTACCCGTTTGACATATATGGTATTAAAAGGAGTCCTTAATTCCATGTAGTTTGGTCAGGAGATAGCCAAAAGGGGATGGGACAAATTGTATATCACAAGCGACTGGACGTCAGTAAAATGTCAATTACTCAAAAACGAAAAAAGCTAGTAATTTGCGGATTTCAACAATCTATAGTGCCTACTTTAGTGAATTTTTCATGGAAAAACATTTGACTTAAAGTGCTTAATGGCTGCGCAGTAGACTCAGAGCAGGTAAAATACTGCACAAAAAGCAAAAAAGATTTTGTTCCACTGCCCCTTAAGAAAAGAAAAATGTTAATTAATAAAACAGAACGTGCAGCAACCACTAAGAAAAGAAGGGGAAAAGAACTAAAAAACAACGTGTTTTGCTTACTGTACACTGAGGAAATAAGGCAGAAAAGAGATCTTAGCAGTATATATAGAGTAAAGTGTCCATAAAATGGCATAAGTTTTCAAAAGTTTGGTTTAGTGTTAACCGAGAACCAGGTAGGTCCATTAGCTTAGGTCGAACAGTACAAAAATCACTAGAATCACTGAAATGTGCCCAAAACACACTGAACATGTACGGGCACATTTTATTTTTTACAGTGTACATTTGAAGGGAATTAAAAAACCACAGGAATTCTGTCTTGACACCTCTAAATACCTTTGAAGACATTGATGGTATTTCTTTCCATTTCACAACTTCTTCAAAGAAATTCGGGGTACAAAAAAACCTCTGGGTACTTGTAAGGAAGCTGGAGTGAAAGATAGGATAGAAAGTCGTTCCATAGAGAACACTGTACACGTATTTTTTTAGCGTTTCAAAGAGAATTCGAAAGTTTTCTAAACGTCTATTTGCAAAACCGTGCGGAAAAGTTGATGAATCCGTATAATGTAGATGTAATTATCACTATAGAACCAAGTCTAGAATTCAGGCATACTGATTAGATAGACGATTCATATGAAAAGAGACGAGAACAGTATAGTATAAAAGTAAATTTGATAATCCAATAAATGGTGGAATAAATAATGTGGCTTGTTGATACGCAGCTTCTATGCTTAACTCAGTTAGTTCAAAAATTTTTCAACCTCTACCACACTCTTGTATAGTCGTAGACACTACCGATAATAGCTTTCTTCGTTGATGAGTTTCAGTCGATCATTACTGTCATCTACTGGAAGACAAAAATATAAAAACTAATGTGTTACATTGTCGCGTTTTGTCGAATAGCCTTGTAAGTAGAGAAAACAAAATTAGTTTTCTTTCAATAATTTTTGCAGTAAACACGATAGTCAGTGGAGGCACCATTAAGAGTCTATACTTTCTTGTTTCATTCGTGTTGTGAACGCGGTCCTCGCTCCGTAATCGCTAAGACGTCTTACTTTTCGAAAATCTGTAATTCGCGATCCTGAAGAGACAATAGCGACTTTTTAGCAATCGCGATGCAGCTTCACGATCTGAGCGCAATCACCGTAAGAAAAAATTGTCACGTCGCGATCGCATTTTTTTCTTACAATTGCGACATGATACAACATCGCGGCGCGTTTTCGTGCAAAATCTTTTCACATCTTAATAATAGCTTACGACATGACTAATATAGTCTCGCATAGTCGCATCACACGTACACTATTCGTCTGCGTTCGCGGTAAAAGTAGCGTGGCTCATTCACTAATATCAGATGGAAAACGCGAATCAATAGTAACTATAATAAAACACTTGAGAGTCATTGATTTTTGTATGAGCGCGAAAAAATCGCGTCTTAATTTCGCGAGTCTTACAACGAACGCGTTACGCGATCCTGCTGCGAATTTTTAAAGAGACTGACATCGCGACATGCGATAAGAAAGTGGACTTGGGAGAGGTGTACACTCCCTGCTTCTCGGAATTTTGGTGCAAATTTGCTCCTGGATCGATTATACTAAAAAATAGTTCTGTTCTCTTATTTATGCTGTTTCTTTCAGAAATTTTTTTTGAAATCTGTTAATGTTTAAGCAAAAGATTATAGATCGAATAGAGAATCCACACTTTTCCAAATAATCTAGAATAAAAATCTTTACCCAGATTAAAGAATCTTACTGTAAGATCTTATAAGATTCTTGTATGATTTCATCTGATTTCATAAGATTCGTATAAGAATTTGTAAGATTCTGTAAGAAACATAGAAACTAATTCTTGATGTTAGATCTTATAGTAAGATTACATAAGATTCTTGTACGGTTTTTATAAGATATAAGATGAATCCGTTTCTATGATTTTCCGTAAGATTTTATAAGATCGTGTAAGATCTTGATCTGATTTTTTTGACCTGGATAGTCTCGTCTGAATCTGTAAAGTCGATCTGTTCTCTTAAAATTTTCTATATCTTTCTTCCAGAAACTGAAGGCATAGTTTAATATAGGACTAACGAATACGGACCTTGTTTACGTCGTGGAACTCTCTCTCTCTCTCTCTCTCTATTTTCCATACACATACATGTATATTATTCATTCGAAGAACATGCACTTTATTAGTAAAAGATAAGGAAAAACGTATATAAAGAAAAGATCCATGTAAATAATATTCTAAAAAAATAGAAAATAAAGAGGATGTAAAAAAGGTCAATTAAAATTCGAGGAGCAAAAACGAACTTAAAACTATTCATCTCAAATCATCAATCTATAATGTTGAAATCACTGGTATTCAAAAGAATTTACTTCTCGCAAAAAAATCGTACACACGAAAATTACAAAGAAGAGATAAAGGATATTTTAATTATGTTTATTTAAGCATGGTTGTTGTTATTGTTGTTGCCATTTTATCTTTAAGCTACTTTATCCAATACGGATTGTACTTCTTTAAATACGTCATCTGGTTTTAACTCTGAATTTATCTAAAATTAGTTCATAAAGAAAAATAAATCAGTAAAAATGTTCATATTTTATAATGAATGATACATACTGCAGCTAATTTTCCTTGTTTTTCATAATGATGAATCACCGGCTCTGTAGCATCGTGAAATGTTTTCAATCTTGCTTTAATTGTTTCGATATTATCATCTACGCGTCCACTCGTTTTTCCACGATGTAATAAACGTTCTGTCATTGTTTCATCATTAGCATTGATATACAACACAAGATTACATGGAGCAATCTATAAATTGAATAAAATAAGTTTGTTAATATAGTAGGAAAAACATTCTCTATCAGCAGGTGTTAAAAAAGGGGACAATTTGTCAATAGGCGAGCAATTTGATATCCTCATTATAGGTCAATCTTTGACGGTTAAATAATATTTAAAAGGTTATGAAATACAGATGTAATTATTTACTTGCTGTTCGAATTTTAACGCTTGCTCTACTTCTCTTGGATACCTAAATAAAAATTGAAAAAATGTTCGATTGAATAATGACAAAAAATTGATACTAACCCATCGATCAAAAATCCTTTTGTTGAATCAATTTTCTTTAACATTTCATCTTTCAGTAAATCCAATACAACTTCCTGTATTTCAAAAATAGTAACAAATGAATCATTAGGATTCATATTGTCCAAAAAATACTAGCATGAACTTACCAATGGAACAAGTTTTCCTTCTTTCATAAGAGCATTCAATTGTTCACCTCGTTCAGATTTTGATTGTACGGCTTCTCGCAATAAATCTCTAGAATAGAAGAAATACATCTGTTGCATAAATTTTATTATCAATGAATTTCATTTACCCAGTAGAGAGATGTGTATAACCATATTTTTGAACAATGTAATCACATTGAGTACCTTTTCCTATAAATTAATTTTTAATGGTAGACCAATGTCAATGACAATTATTTTTTAAAGTACTAACCACTTCCAGGCCCACCACAGACAAAGATAATTTTTGCATTCTTTAATTTTGATGTATCAGGTTTTCGTTCAATAACTAGAAAATAAACACATAGTCTTGAAATATTGAAAATATAAGTAAGAGTGATCGATAATTTAAGCAAAACAGAAAATTCAGTGAACTGTATGCAGTGAAGTCGCACGTGCTGTATAGATAGTAAAATTTGTTTAGATTTTAAATCTTACATTATTTAGAATTGGGTATGCTTGAAAAAAATATCTTTTCTTTAAAAGCTTTTAACGGTAGATTGCCTTTTATTTCACTACGAGCATCGGAGCTCGTTGTTGAGACTCGAGGTATGGTACAATTTTAATACTATCCATTTTGTGAACAAGTACTCATCATAAACGTGTACAGAATAAATAATAATCTACGAAAACTACCCGTCCCTCTTATTACATAAAATGAAACCGTATGTCAGATCATTCGTTCGCCGCTTAAGAAAACTGTAAAAAGAGCTAAGGAAACTTTTATAAGGTAAGTGAACGGTCTTTACATTAAAAAAAAATTAATAATGTGAGGTTATATATACTCACCTTGAGACATAATTTTAAATTATTGTTCGTCGATGTCAAAGATTGTTAAATGATAGAGACGCGTTTTTTATGTCTAACAACCGATTTGTACAAAGATGTTTTGTACTGTTTTTTTATTGTTATTTATTTATCACAACGGTACATGTAATAAATGGAAAGAAAGAAGAAACAAAAAAACCCCAAAATTAGAGATGAAAAGAAATAGAGATAGAAGGAAAGAGGTTGGAACCATCATTGTACGCCAGATTATTTTCTTCTATAATCCACAACATCAATTTTTTTGTGATTTATGCGTTTGATGCAGAACTAAGTTGGTATCATAACAAGACAATATACAAAATCTATAGCTACAAAACAACCGTATACCGAACATCGATGTCATTACGACATTGTTTTGTTTTAGCACATAATGGTAATGGTAAATAGAATAGGATACGTATTTATGTTCGATAGAGAAGAAGAAAAGTAGAAAAAAAAACCTTTAGATTAATCTCACTTCCATATGGCATGAGTTCTTTTCCTCTAGATAAACAGATTAGAATTAAGGTCAAAATGGTTAAATGCATTGTAGCGGAACGAATGAGAGAGAACAATAAAGTATTAAAGTATAAAGAACATGAAAGATAATTTCAAAATAGATAGTGGTTATATTTAGTGCGATGGTGTCTAGAATAAATGATCTCTATTACATTTCTTTCAATCTACTGAACTGTGAGTAAAGTAGCAATCATCATCGAATAGAAAGTGATCCTAAGTAATTCAAATTGTTTTTTGATCAATATATAATTCGAATTTATGTATATAAAAGATCTTAAAATACTCTAACACTGATAGAACAGTATCACACCTTAATAACAGACTAAACAAATGGCACAGCACATGTCACTGTGATCGTTCTGTTGCTGAATTACAATCTATATAATTGTTACTGTAAAAGTATTTTGTTTTTCTGTTTTTCCTATTTTATTACGGTTGTTTATACTAAGTAATTGTAAAAGTAGAAGGTTATTAATGTGTGGTTAACATTACGGAAGAAGATCTCAATAAAATAATAGTTTATTTGGATAAGGAATCCAGTTTTTTTCTCATAAAATCGACTGTCAAACTATAGTTGATATCGTTAAACAGCGTACATTTGAAAAATAGGCCTATTTCTCTATCTTTATAAAAAATCATGATATTATTTCTGTGTTAGCTCATTTCTATAGGAATAATATTTTTATGAAAAACGTGTTGTTGATAACAGAGAAACGTGACTTGTTATTAGAAACGTGTCAGTGGGTAAAAATTCTGTAATGGTGATGTTTGGAGCAAAACGCACACGACGTTTTTACCTTTATCATTTGAATTCTCACTATCATCCTGCAAAAAGGTTAGATACATTACTCTTGTCTTAACCCTCATATTTCTACCACCAGGAGAAAATCGCACAGGCGGGCATATAAGGGTTAAGAGTTACTCTTTAGAAAATCATTTCCCCTATTAAATTGATAAAAACAATTCGAATTGTTTACCTACTTGGTCCATTAAGCGATCAACCGAATCTTGAACATCTGCAAATATTTCATCTGGTGAACGGTTAGCATCAATCTAAACAAATACTGTATATTGTACATTTATTCATTCTAATAAATATTAATCACAACATATATGACGTTGTGCTCGATAACGACATTGAAACATGGACGACGGACCCTTTAATACTTAGTAAACTCGAGCTTACACTAATTTATGGCTTTGACATGAAGGTTGAGATGAATGGACCTACTGAGGTGAGTTCGCCTCGCTATATCTCCGATCTGAAATACATACCGTAACAAGTTTTCCTTGTTTTCCATAATAACCAAGAATTGGTGTTGTTTGCTCATGAAATGTATCCAATCGTTTTTTAATTGTTTCTTCATTATCATCGATTCTTCCACTTGTTTCGCCTCGTTTGAGTAATCTTTCTGTCATAACATCATCGGATAAATCGAAATAAATCAATAGATCACATGGTACTACTTCATTTTCAAATTGTATACCTGAAATAATCAACATTCTGTGCTAAAATGGAAGATTAAGTAGCAAAAGCAGCAGTTTTTAGTTTCTCGATTTTTGCATTCATTTTCTGACCGAATCATAATATATTACAATTAATTAGAATTAAAATAGAATTTTACAAACAAAAATGAATCTGACATAGAGATATCTATGTTAGGCCTACCATATCGCAAATAAATTGAAACATCCTAAATAAATGTTCGATGGAATTTAGTATTATTTTAATTAGTATTATTAAAGAGTGACGTTAATAAAGAATAAAATCTGTCAGTATCGAAACTGCACAGATATGCAGCAAAAGATGTTATTCTATCTTTACCTTGATCAATTTTTCGAGGAAAACCATCAATTAAAAAACCGGTAGCTTCTTCGGCTTTCTCATAAATAGCATCTTTCAATAATCCTAAGATATCTTCCTACAAAATAAAATAAATGTATGAAGATCTTTCTAATAAATTACGATAAAAGTTTTTCTTACAGTCGAGATTAATTTGCCTTGTTGCATCATTTCATTAAAATATTTGCCCTTTTCCGACTTTCCTTCTACAGCAGCTCTTATCAGATCACCAGCGCTCAAATGTGTAAAACCATATTTTTCAATGATTCTTTCACATTGTGTACCTTTACCCGATCCAGGTCCACCACCAACAAAAAGGACTGGTTTGCCTTTCAACTGTTTTTCTTGTTTTTCCGTCATTGATCCATGAGAATGTGTAGATTCTTCTCTTTTTGGCTGTTTTGTCACTTTATTTAATGCACTACAAATATCGCTAAATACTTCATCGACACCATGCGAGGCATCAACCTAATTAACGAAATAAAGATGTATGCATCTATATTATTTAAAAAATATTTCAATACACGAACATACTTTAACAAGTTTATTTTCATCTTGATAATGTCGAATAATTGGATCAATAGAGTCACGAAAATTTTCAGTATCATCATAGCGACTTTCATTGGCACGTTGTGACAATAGTTGATCGGAAGCATCGAGATAAAAAACCATTGAAAATGGTGCAACCTGTAGAAAAACTTTATATTGCATAATAAGTACTTTTTTCTTATTCAATGATGGGAGAGAGATACCCAATCAGTTGTTCGAGGGATACTTCGAGTGCTCGGAAATATTCTTCCGATGGGCCTTCGCCAAGGACTCGAGTCCCCGGAAAATGGCACTTCGTACTCTCGATATAAGCTTTCGAGGGGTATTTCCGAGCCCTCGTCGGATTCCGGGGACTTCCGAGCCCTCCTCGCACCCTCGAGAGAGCGAGGGCTCGGAAGTCTCGAACATCTGTATTCGACGATTCAAAATTTTTCTCAAGGGCTCGCTATCTATCTGAAATCCGAGGGGTCTAAATCGATACCCCACGAAAGCTTATATCGAGGGTCCAAAGTGCCATTTTCCGAGGGGTGGAGCCCTCGGCGATTAGGCATCTAGCAAAATTGGAGATATCCCTTCTAGCACAAGATATGCGTGTGCAAACATTGCGATGTATGTGACGTAAAAGAACGAGGCAGAAAAAAGAAGTTTAAAAAAAGTGTTGAAAGAATAAAATGGTGAATGAAAACAACGCTGCACTGACTTTTCCTCTTTCTTCACACGGTAAACGAGAAAAAGAGAATATCTATCGTTGTGCGAGAAGAGATATCTCCAATATTGCTAGGTGCCTATTGCCTATTTTCGAGTACTCGCCACACCTCTCGAACGACTTTTTTCATCTGCATGGGTAATTTTTATATTGAGATTTTAATTATTCTATCACGATTACGAAGAGAGAATCCTGAGAAGATTTGTCGCAACGTAATACTGATTGATCTTGTACGACATCATGTCTATACTTTAACACATACTCTTCGCTCGAATGTTACTCCAAATCGTGTTTCATTCGGTTGACTATCAATGATATAACCATCTGTCTGATTTACTGTTTTCATCATTGCTTCACCCACTAAATCTGTGATCAAATTCTAAAATATAAAAGCTTTTAATTGGAAATCAAAACACAATCATAACGATCGCATACTGCGGATAAATCATTTGATTCTTTTCCATATTGAGAATCCGATTTTTTAATCAACTCAGCCGTAGATAAATGTGTATAATGGTATTTTTGAGCAACTTTTTCCGCTTGTGTACGTTTTCCACTTGCTACAGAATTAAAATTCAATTATATACACAAAATATTGTTTTTTAAACAAAATGAAACATTTTTACCTGGTCCACCAATAATTAAGATCATCTTTTTATCTTTCAATCGTTGAGTATCAATTGAAATTTTTTTATTGTCTGACTGTGTATCATGTTTCCCGACTGGTATCGAATCTAATTTTGTTCGACGATTTAATCCATTTCCAACATCTTGTTCACCTTTTTCACTTGAGCGTGGTGCCATTGATTGTTGTTGTGGTGATTGATCAGTGTTTTGTACATTTGACTTTTTCAAGGGTGCTAATGTGTGTACACCACCTTTTCGTCCAATAAACGAATCCCATTTCAATGTTTGATTCTCCGATTTATAACGTGATAATGAATCAATAATAAATTCAACATGATCCTCCGGCTTATGTACCATCAGTCCAGTAAGTAAACTTTCAAATAATTGTGGAATTTTTCGTTTTGAAATATAATCTTTTGCAATTTCAGTATTTGTATTTTGTGTTAAATGATTCATTGTTTAAAATAGAATGTCTAAAAATGATTAACAAGAAATGTATTAACATAAAATGATGTGTATTAAAATTATTGAATTATTTAGAATTTAGTAACGCCCTCTGAACAATGACGGGTTAATGCGACATCTTTTAAGTTAGAAATCTGCTAAAAAAATTCATGAAAACACTTATTTTTACTGAGAACAATTATATTTTTAAAAAAAAGTCTTATACGAGTATGATGTTTCGATCAAAGATGACGTTCAAAAAAATGTCTCAAAAAAACAAACAAAGATTGAACAAAGCTATTTATTAGAAGAACTACAACAACATGTTTACAAAAGATAAATGGCTATAGGGTTCAATTTCTGAAGATAACATACATATACATTAATAATTAATGCACATTGCTATATTTAAAAGATGTGAAGATCGTGAGCATACAACGTAAGAATAAATGCCAGGGACCAGTTTCATCTTTTTCTGATAAAACACGCACGGACTATAATAAATACAACTGAATAAGAAAATAATAACATTCACATTTTTGCTTTGTATTTGACATTAGCCATCAATCGGAAAAGAAAAAAAAAAAAAACTAAAGCAGTGAAGAGAAGGGAAGAAAGGAATTAAGAACACAGACAGAAAAATAAAAAGAACCTGTTACCATTTCCACTTGTATAATAGTTCATCAGCGACTCATCGATGCTTGTATAAAAAATAAAAAAAATGCAAATATAGCTAAGAAGGAAGATCGTAAACACACTAAGTTTTCAAATGACTTTTACATTCAGCAAACATATATTGATCACATTAATACAATTTAGTAAAAAAAAAAGAACATACCATTAAGAAAAAATGATTTGAATCATCGATAATATAAATAATATATGTACTTTGAAATAGTCATTTTTTTGATATTTTTCTAGGATTAATTCAATAAGATACTGATATCATCTGAGAAAAAAAATATTGATGCATTTTGACAAGATTAAAACTGTAGATATTAAATTCACATAAATAAAAATGTTGTATTCAAAAAAACAAAATACTGTGTCATTCTAGAAATATAATTTGCATATCATTGTAAATATTTTCTTATCATCAGTTTAAGATCAGGATAAATTTTATTGACTTCAAATCGACAATAAACCTACAAAGAATGAATAAAAGCATAGTCTCACTAACTGTTAGAGTTATTTAATACTGAACTGATTGTAACTTATCGAGATTTTTCTCTGGTGTTAGTGAATAGAGCTTATTATCAAAACTAATTTTAGATAAAACACAACTTTAATAAATAATACATCTAACGTGGATCTATTAACATTTTATTTTATTATCCGCATATAGTTATGAATACACCTAGTCTTTTCCACTACTTCACTGATATCCCTAGTGAAATTTCTTGTACCCAAGATCTTACTCAAAATCGTGGGTTAAGAAATGTCACAAGATCTTGGAAAAAACAGTACGAAATCAAGATCTTGTGTGAATCGTGTCAGAATGTTTCAAAGTATTGTAATAATAATCTTTTACATTTCCTTGATCAAGCTAGCTGTGCTCAAGAAAGGAGAATTTTCACAGTTATATGTAACCAAAAGTATAAAACAAAATGGTGATTTAAGACCTATCAAAATCTTGATACAAGAAGTCAGGAAATTTCAAGATGTCAAGATCTTGGTTACAAGAAGTTTCACTAGGAATGCGTATCCCAAAACAGGTTAAATGTTTAATAATCTCCTAGATGCTTGTGAAAAGTGACTTCTAAAAGAGTATGATTAACGATAAGTAATGGTTGATTGAACTTTACAAGACATGCAAAATTCTTCATAAAAGTCATTCTCTCTCACTCTTATTAAAATTCAATTTAATTTGCAAAATGTCGTACTATGTAGCTGTTTTGATTAAATCATTATTTAATTTGTTAGTTCATACCGTGTAAGAAGTTTAGTGTCAAAAAGTACTGCGTCGTCCCCACATATTCCAAATCGTCTCCGAAATCGTCAGTGAAAATGAGAAATAGCAGAGCAAGAATGCAGTTGATTACCTCCTTATCTAATACTTGACTGTTTACTACTGTCCTTATTTCTCTTTCAAACAAATAGCTTGTTAACTACAAGACAATTTGTTCACATACACCTTTTTGTCTCAATTTGAATAACAGTCCTTCATGTTACGCTGAATCAAAAGCACATACCACATCGCGAACAAAGATAGCTAGAACAAAATTGTTACCCTCAATTCCTTCAATAATATAACAAAACATGCGTTATTACCTAATTAATGTAAGAGTCTCGTTTTACAAAGCCAGATTGAGACGATGAAAACAATTTGTTAGTAAATAACTAAGAATATTGGTATCTGAAAATGAGTCTTTCCATAACATTTTCAAGAATAGGTTAAAAAATATGTCGATAATTTTTTGACAAGATGTTTATCATTCTTTTTATGTACTGGATAAATCTGACAGATTTTGAAAGAACTCGGCAATGTTGAGCTTTCAAAACTGTCATTCCATACATCCACTAAAATAAAAGCCAGTATAGACGCTGACTCCGACAATTTTGAACGGTAAATTGTCTGAAACAGCTTTGTCTGTATTTAGTTTTTTAAAAATAGGCAGTACATCTTGAAAAGAAAATATAATTTTAGACATTTTCCATTTAAATTTTAGAGTTAGTGCTGATAGTGATTTTGTTACAGTTAGCAAGAGGTATTGTGCATGTGGATGCAAAATTAGATAAAACGCAAGCATTATTTTATTTCTGTGAAGCGAGAAACCATTTGGTACTCTCATCGTCGTATTTGATATTGTAAGATGATAAATGTACAACGAAAATGGAAATATCTAGAGAAAAAAAGAAACTTACAGAAGGAAATTATTCATAAATCACTCAGTCATGTTGTGAAGCTAATTTATTACTAAAACCAACACAAACAGCAGCAACTCATCAACAAAATTTTGCATAGGGAATGATGATTGTTGTAATCTAAGTACTTTTCAGTTATTCGGCATTTTCTCCGATTCTAATTATTCTTTATAGAAAACTTTGAAAATATACTTCAAATTGTTTTATGACGTTTCATTTCACCAAATAATTTTGTCATATTTAATATATTGATATTTGCCATTTTTTTTATATCTGAAATCAATGCAAATATCCGTTTCATTTCATAGTGCATAGATCGTCTCAGGAGAAGAATGTAACTGCATATAAACTGAAGGACTATAGAAGATTTTTTAAGAGAAAAACAGAAGAAGATTTAACAAAAACCAACAGTAGATTTATTTGAAAGACAACACCAGATAAAAACAAAATCAAACAGATAAATAAATAAATAAATAAATAAACAAAATATCAACTTGCCAATAGAAAACAATTCGTGCAAAAAATATATGATTAGTAAAATTAGCGAAATTCATACTAAATAAAGTTTCTTATTACTTTTTATTCATTTCTATAAATGTATCCCATTTTATTGGTAATTTTTGATTTTTAACCTATTAAAAAACAAAAATCGATCTATATAAAAATAAATTGTGATTAAAATTACATACCTTTGATAAACTGTCAATAATATATTCTAAATGATCATCTGGTTCATTACTCATTAAACCAGCCATGAGTGCCTTAGATGAAGAAAAATAAATAATTAATTTTTATTGTAAATTCATTTACATATGCGTATCATTTACCTCGAATAATGCTGGTATATGTCTTTGAGAGATATATAATTTTTTTCTCTCACTTACTGGATCCGTATTAATATTGGATGAACTCATTTCTAAAAATGATTAAAGAATAAAAACAATTAATCTCAGTATAATTTTCATTTTTCTTAAAGTTATTTTGTCAAATATAATTAATATTCAATTCAGTTATTATGGGTCTTGACAATTGAAACAGAGAGAAAGGGAGAGGGAATACTTAAGTTTTAAGAAAGAAAACATCTGTCTTCATTTCTCTATCGAAAGACAAAAAAAAAAAATGATGACTACAAGAGACGTTTTGGACTAGTCTACTCATCTTATATTTTTACTGCTGATAAAAACAAATGACTGATTTTTTTGGAAAATGTCTGGCAAGAATAGCGCATCAAATAAATAAAAAAGATCTTTTTTTTAAATATCACAGTTTTTATCGACAAAATAGAATATGTTGAGCATGTAAATGAGAATAATGTAATTACAAAAATTTGTTCATTGAACAACAAAATTACAGAATGGTTAGAAAAAAAAAAGAAAAAACTAAATGATAAAAAAAAATTTAACTATATCATTGTTGCTGTCGTTGTTTTCGATAATAATGTGGCACCTTTCATTGGTGATGAAACAGCTGTTGTTGTTAATTGTAAATTTTCTGTTATAAAATTTCGTTGTTTTCGTCGTCGACGATCATCAATATAATCATTAACTGATGGTAAACTTGAATGTGTTCGTGGTGGATCATAGGCTGGTACTGGAATACCTTTTACAGTATATTTCCATTCAATTTCATCAGCTGATATAATTAATGTTGCATTATAAGTACGACCATAGACAGATGGACAAAATGATATTTTAAATAAAGTTCCATTTGATGCTACTGGTAATAATTCACCGGATGATGGACTAATTGTAAACGATTGATCACTGTTTTGAGTAAAATAAGCATTGAATGATATCGGTGAACTAAAATAAAATTGATATACATAAAAATATAAATAATTGTTAGATATCTACCTTGTTGGACTATATAAACGAAATCCAATTGTTGATGATTTATTAAGTCCACTTGCTTCTAAAATAATTTCATCATCAGGTGATGCATCGATTGTAACAAAGCGTAATGGATATTTTAATATTCCACCCGTTGCCAATGTTAATGATAGATTAGCATCAGTACTAAAAAATGTTAAATAAAAGTTAAATTTTATTCTCATCAGTATAGAATTATTCATATTTACGTTATATGTTTTGATGGTGAATAGACAATATTGAATATTAAATGATCGACTTTTCTATTTTCATCTTGAGTACGTTTAAGAAGTTGTACACCCACACAATTTTTTAATATATTATCATCTTCTATTACATATTCTTCAATGGCTGTTGACACTTTTTTATCTACAAAATAATGATAAAAGAATGGCAAATATTACTGGATAAAATGAATTACCAGACAATTGTTCATCAATATGTAAATTTTGTTTATCTATATCAAATTCAATTTGTTGTTCAATACGTTGACCACATACACATTCAATAGTAATGGGTTGATCATTTTTCGTATCCAACCAATTGTAGGCAATACCTTGTAATGGATAAGACCATGTAAGTTCAGATGTATCACTACTAAAAATATTAAAAAGATAATTATGATAATATTAATAGAATACAAAATATTATATTTACTTTTCTATTGACCAAGTTCTACCAGGTGGTAAACGTCCTTTTACAATTAATTTTGCCTCATATCGACATAAAGTTTCTGGACAAAAAGCAATTGGAATATGAAATTTTTCACGTGAATTAATTGTAATATTATCAAATTTATCCAATAAAATACGAAAATATTGTTGAATAGATGGAGAACTATTGGTACCTAAAAAGAGTAGTGAAAATTATATTTTCAAAGGAAAATAATATTTTATTACAAAAAACAAAATAAAATACCTTTTAATGATAGATCACAGCGTATAGGATGATTTGCTGGATTTTGAAATTCAATTGTTGTTGTTGAACTAATACCAGTTTCAGACATCATTGTCACCGATTTTTGTTCTTTATTTGGTTTTGTTCCCGATCCATTGACAATATAATCAATTGTACCGAGCTAGAAAAAAAGATGTACACATCTACATTGATCGCGATATTTGTCCGACAAAATGGGACAAATAAAATTGGTCTCATAGCGTTTAATAACAGCAGATAAGCCGGGTATATAAGAGGTCTAACTCATTGTGAGTTATGCTTGGTTATGTACATAGGATTAGCCAAAAAAAACATCGTAACTTCATGAATTTTCAATCTGTTCTAAATCTAGCCATGAGTACATTCAATAAGAAGAAAATAACAGCAGACGAAAGTTTATGAGAAAGATTTTACAACTACAAAGTCACTATCAAATTATAATCGCTGTTCTTAAATATATAATAATAAATTATTTATATCACTATTTATCTACTGGAAATTATGCAATCTTAAATATTATTTCAGAATCATTTTAATGACGCTACATGAAATCGATTTGATAATGTTTTTTCCATGTAATCATTTCGTCATCCTATGTTTGATTACGAGATCATAAATAGCATATGTTGTGAACACTGCGCATGGTGAGTGATTAAGATGATCGGCTGACATTTTATTGTTCAACTATCGATAATAATATCGATGAATTATCATCATGTTCCGATAGCATCATTATACTTGATGACTGTTCACCGATTTCTAAATCTTTAATTTTTGCATTTTTTATCGTCAAAGTTTCTTTCTCATCGTCTGAAAATGCTATTTGTGAACCGACTCCTTTAACTGAATTGTGACATAATAATGCACACATTTCTTGACGAATATGATGTGGAGTCAACTGAAAGAGTTCATTGAATAGTGTACGCCAACTTTCTGTAGATATTTCATGTGGATCCTCAGGAATAGTTGACTGTTGTTTAGTTGATACTACTGCACAAACATCTGCTCGATGTGTTGATGACTGAATATCATCTTGAGATTGTTGTTTTTTCGAAGAAAGGTGACCAGATGAAACAGTCGAAATGGAATCAAATTTTCGTTGTTGTTGTTTTGTCAATGGTTGATGTTGATCAGCTACAAACGAAATAGAAAAAAACCTAGCTTAAATTAACAAAAGCCGTGTATGAAGCATTGATGGACAATTAAAAAACCGCCACGTTCCAATCATAAACTTGATAAACAGAAAACAGGTTTTCTGCTTGAAAAATATTCGAAAACATACATTGTATTGATTCTGATTGGGTCTGCAGCTGTTTAGGGATTGAAATCGCTTGCCTTGTTAGCATCATTACCTATTACTAACGATGGATACGTTTCACACACAGCCATCAGTACTTCGTTAACGAGTTGAATGGCAGATAATGCTGATGAGTTTGAAACATGCAGACCTACTGCATTTTTAACAGGATAATTTCTAGTCTGTTCCTTCAATGAAATTGATACTGACGTTCTTCTTTTTTTTTCTGGCGACAGTTCTTTTGCCAGTGATTGTTTAGCAGAGAAAGAATGTTTTATTAACGATGTTATTTCTTCTTCTTCTTCTTCTTCTTTGATTATTTGTTCTAATTCTTCTGGTTTCGGATAGCGTGTCTTACCAGATGGTGAACGACCGGGAACCAGATGTGGTAAAGGATTAGTTGAATGATCAACTTTTGTTGATGGATAAGAAACTTGTTGGACAACTGTAGATATTCTTACATGTCCTTGCAGAATGAAGAAAAAATTATTGTTAGAATGGATAGTTCGCAATAAATACCTTCGTTTGAATGTACATCTGGTTTACTTGATTGAGACTCACGTAAAATACTTTTTACTGCTGTTTGTGATTTAGTTACGAATTTTATTAGTGGAGAATTATCAGTACTAGTTGATACACATTTCTTCTCTGGTAATGTACTTTTCGAAGCGCCCACGATAAACGTTGATGATACATTCGATTCTTGTTTTATTGCTTGTGCTACAGCACGAACTTGATTATCAATCAAAGCGGCATTAGCTAATAACTCTTGAATTCGAGGTATATGATTTCTTAAATCAATTAACGTTTGTTTTGATGTCACAGGCATATTATGAATATCACACAAGAATGTTTCATCTAATGATAATTCTTCACCTTTCGGTAAATATTTTATGAAGGCTGCTGTTGATGTGGCTTCATCTCCTTTTTTTACCATGTCTCTTTCTTCGCTAACATTTTTCCTCATTTTACAATTAACTAAACTAGTTGTCAATGATGTTACATTTGATGTCACCGGTACAATATCAGTATCAATGTCTTGTAATGATTTTGGTTGTATTTTAGTTTTTTTATTGAGAGAACGTTTTGGGGACATAAAAGATGAAGATGTTGGTTTAAATGCTGTTTTTATCTTGGATTTTGGCGTAATCGTCTGGAATGCTGTCTCTTCTACAAGTTTCGATATTATGTCATAATTTTGAAAAAAATAAGGAAGTTTAGTACAAACGACATCTAATAAAATTTCTTGTTGGTTCATCGCTGTTAACGGTATGTCTTGAACGGTAGGATCTAACATCTCTTCAGAGACCGAGATCGGCATCGGTTCGTTGTGTTTTATTACTTGTCTTTTCCACTGTTTATCTTTTGTTGTCGGCATTGGAATATTTTTGATTTGTGGATAATATCTGGTTAGACAATTAAACAATGTTTTTGTCGTTAACTCATCCTTGCGCACTGATATCAAATGATCTTGAATATATGTACGATAGTTTGTTTTAGAATGTTCTAATTCATATTGATTCCATAATTCATGGACAAAATGCTCAATGTATCGCAGTGCATAATCAAAAAATAAAGAATCACTCAATTCATAAACAAGTTGGACTAACTGATTATTTCTGTTATACATAGTACTTTTACCAGTTGTACTCAATGGAAGACAAGAATTTATAATTTAATCTAATGATTCATTAAACATAGATGAAGAAACAAAATACTTGAACAGATTCACAAAAAAAAATCTCTAAATTTAACATCATCGTTCCTTTCATCGTTACATCAACAATTTTGTCAGCATTATTTGTGTCCAATTAGTTGCCAAGACAATATAAGTAGACATTGGTGTTTACAATCTGTTTATGACGAAAAAAACCTGTTAAAATTATACTACATGAATCAGATCTTCTAGTTTCACTTTTTCGTCCTAGATTGAATTCTATACTTTCTATTTCATATACGCAGATAAACATAATATAGAAATTCTTGTTAGAACAACTCGTTTGGGATTAAGAGGTAAACTTATGATAATTTCATTTTTATGATCAACTGTTAGAACACTGGTAGAGGTTTTATTTTTTGTTAAAAACTTTGATTCTTCTTATTTCGTCGCACTGCTAAGTAAAGAGTTTTGTAGTATTGGTAAATAATATATCATGTCTCATCTCCGAATAAGTTTCGATGTAGTACCATAAAACGACTGCGCGCCATGCATAAATGTTTTTCACTTTGTTCTCTAATTTCAATCACGGATAGATTTTATTAGAAATTTATTTATTTTTGTTTCGAAAATATAATGTGAGACAGGAGACAATTGAGTGTCAAAAAAGTGAGTGAAACGTGGATTATGGATGATATCAAAGGTATTGAAAATGTGTTTGATGAATCTGATAGTAGTCTAATCGATGATGATGACAGTTTTTATTCGAATTCAATGGTCAAACATGTTGTATCAAATAAATTGGAGTTATTTAGTAATGAAATAATCGAAAAATTCGAAACATTATATCCTCAATATAATCAACAACAACAACAACAACAGAATACTAATGGAGCAAAAGTGATTGAAAAAGAAATTTTCAATAATTTATTAAATAAAGGTACAGAATTAATTTATCTGTTATTTATTATTAACAACGTTAAAGTATATATTAATCGAATGTGGCATAATTATTCGAAAAAAATAGAAAATATGTTAAAAAATTCAAAATATACACAATATATGCAACACAATCATATCATCGTATCAGAATTAGATTATCTATCATTAGTTGTATCCAAAATGCTTGAAAAGTGGTATTCAGAAATACAGACAGACATAACATTGATAACAGATAGATAATCAAAGTTACATGTAAATCATTTCATCATCTCTCATCAGTTGTTCTACGTTACACTTGAATTTAAACGATAACAGATTCTACTTGAGATTCAGATATTTGAGTTAAAAGACGTAAGTATTCTTATATTAAACATCGGTTAGTAAAGTAATATCCAAATTGTGACAATATTAGTGACTTTATAGAATATGAGATTGTAGGACATGGTAGAGTAGAGATACTACGGGATATAACACAATACAAAAATCGTCAGAAAGCATAAGGTCGGACTAGGGTATACAACATCATCGGGTATGAAAAATCACTTACCGTCCACACCTTTTGACAAAAATAAAGAGTAAATATTTTTTATACAAAAACTATTATCAATGATCTTTAGATCTTCGACATTCCTCAAGAAATCTGCATTTTTAAGATTTAAATTTTCTTCAAGTGAGAGAAAAACTATCATGCGACAAAAGTTTGATAGCGTAGCATAAAGCAGAATGTCTAGATTTTCTATAAAAAATAAAAACCTATGTAAGAACGATATTGAGCATAAGAGTAAGAATTTCTATTTTCAATAATTTTCGAAAGCAAAAGATGCAAAATAAATAAATAATTTTATAGCATAAAGCATTTATTTCTAGAATTACTTTGATGGCGCTTGTTAATTCTTTACTTCTATTTTCTTTTTCGGGTTGAATCTATAGATATGATGTGTTATTGTTGGTCATTATTAGACCATAACATATCGTTAACCCGCCCACGAATAGAAGACCAATGATCTTCTAATCTGTCTCACCGTCTGTCAGAAGAATTTATTCCTATTACTTATATTCGGTTTTTTGCATTTCTTTCATCACTTTTTTGTCACGAAAATGATCTAACATATTCAAATAAATATGTTAACATACAAAAAATGAATCTATAGATGTATGATCATTCTTTTACTTTGGTTATGAGATCAAAAGTGCATCTGCCGTATCATTTTATTTCCCTCTTACCTGGCTTCTACACAAAGACTTCCTTAAAATTAATACAGGACCATGGTCTTCTATGGTGGGCGGGCGTGGCAGAGATTAAAAGAAAAAAATTTACCTTATCATTAGCAAATGATAATTTTGAAAAATGATTATTATTTCCAATTGTCGATGGATTAAATACAAAAGGTATTTGTGTTTTACTTTTAGGCATCACAGTAAATTGATCACCACGATCAACTTGAATTGAAAAATTATTAGTATTCGATGATAATGTTGTAAATTGTAATTTTTCATCCAATGGATTTTCAATAGTTATTTCTTGTGTAACAGTACTAATAAAAACAAATATGAGTACTTTTTAGAATAAAACGAATAATAATGTATCTCTTACCTTCCCAATGCTGCTGTCATTGGTTGTAGTTCTTTCTTTTGTGGATTTGTACTAGTCAAATTTAATTCATACCAAAATTCACCGATTTCTTCGTTGAAAAATATCAGACTAAACGAAAAATATGATGACTTATAGGTTTTTTGTTATTTGCTTGTTTATTTTATTACCTTCCAGTCCAATTTCCTACGGTTCTAGGATTAAAATGGAGTTCATATTTAGCTTGATCATTCGCTGGAATTTCAATGGATTCTTCACCCTATGAGAACGAAAAAAATGGTAAAATCATCTTATGATAACCGACACATGAGCATAATTTACCATTATATCATTTAAACCTTGTAGATCAACAGATAATTGAATTGTATGATCTAGTGGATTACGTAATGGAATTACCAATGTGTTGGAACCCTTTAAAAATAATTTATTTTTGATTTCCATCATTTCATAATACGATAGGAGTACAAATCTTACTAGACATGGTGCAGTGAGATTAACAGTTGATTGTGGTTCTGGTGCATCAACTTTAACATCGAGTGTAAACCATAATGAGTAAAGAAAATCGGATGAATCTTCCGGTTCAAGTGGTGGAATTTCATCTCCATCAGAATCAACGTCTCTGAAAAGAAATAATTTAAAACATGTATCTCTCTTTTTCTATTAAAGAAAAAAATCGTACTTGATAGGCCACGGTCCAGGTTTGAATACCACAACACCTAAATAGTTGTAATTTCTTAATTTTGTATTTAAAAATTGATTATTTAATTAAATTACCTTTATAATCGCCTCGTTGAGGTGGACATATTTCAAATTCATATTTTGCATTTTTCTTTGATTGTACACAAACATACGGTGGTCCATTAACAAATGGTAGATTACATGTAACATAGTAACATGTTTTTTTAGCCTTTTTATTTTTAATATCGATTGAATGTGATGTACTAGACAAATAATGAATAATAATTATAATAAAATACATATTGATAGCTTAAAACTTACGTTGTTCCAACTTTACTATGAAGTTGTAAATGTCCAATTGGTGGGCCACGATCTGCTCTACCACGTAAATTGTATGTTTGTGAAAATCCTGAACAATAAAATAATTAGAATAGTTGCACTAATAGTTTTAAATATAAACCTGTATCGACATTATTAATAACCATTTGAGACTGAACAAAAAAAAGAAGAGATAAAAGATATTAGCCAATAATTTATTAAATATCATACGTGAAAATTGTCTTCTTCTGTTTGTGGTGAAAATACCAGTGGATATTGGTAGACTGATTTGGGTTCAACTTTGATCGAATTAGGTCCATTAAATACTTTACTACCCGTAAATGTGATGGACATATTCCATTCATCGTCAGTACCATTTGCCTGAAAAATAGAACATTTCACATTTTAAATAATATATTTTATATTTTAAAATATATACATACAATGGGTATATTTTGAGTAACGGGAACAAAAACCGATGTTCTCATTTCGAGTGATGCGGCTTGTTTTTCTTCATCTGTTTCTGTACAATGTACTTCAATTTCAAATTCACGAAGATCATCACCACATGATAATGTCAATTTAGTCGAATATATTCCCGATTTATCAGCTTGAAATCTCATAGGTAATTTAATTGTTAATTCTTAAATTAGAAATATAACATTATTATATAAATGTTTGACTATTTAAAAAATAGATGTACCTTCAAGTGGAAAATTAATATTTGTTGGTACTGTAAAATTTGTTGTTGATGTTGAATGAACTTTAAATTCTGGCATACGTGAAAATGGATGTACAGATTTTCTTGTTTGTTTTAAATCATGATCAGTTAATTGTTGACTTAATCCAAGTAATGATTGTTTTTGTCTTTCTCTTTCAGACATACCCTTGATAAAAATATATAGATTATATACTAAATATTTAATTATCTTTTAAATTAAATATACCTGCCATCTGATGGCTACTAATGCTTGTTGACGTTGAATATTTTGAACAGGAATATCAATTTCAAATACAGACGATGTGCCAACAACAGCTTTAAAACGTAACTTTTCAACATTAACTAAAAGTAAACATCTGTCATTATAATTTAATGATAATATCTCTTTCATAATAAGATATGAAAAATACAATTATTTCTGTATGAAACCATTAGTAGAACTAAAGAGACTTTTTTTGTTCTCCATTAAACACATTAGAATTAGAATTAATGTTATTGAGATACATTTACTGTCTTATAGAAGATTTCTAAGATCTAATCGTATATTATTTATTAATTAAAAGAAAATAGGATGATAATTATTTCTAATAAACTATAACTGTCTACAAAAATAACCTTACCTCTTTTTTGATCCATTTTCATAGCTTTATCTGATGTGACGGGGAATGGAACAGGTTTTTTTGGTACACCTTCGATAAGGAATAAAAATTCTCCAATTTGTTCATTCATAAATATAAGTAATGCTTCACGTTTTTTTGTTGTTGTTGCAATATAATCAATATGAAATGATTTTGTTTCATGTGAATTTAAATGAACAACTTTATCTTGAATAAAAAAGCAATCAATTTCTTTTGATTGTTTGAATTTTTTTCTACTATTTAAATTAGTAAACATTTCTTCAATTGTTTCTCGTTTAGAATTATATCTAAAGAAAGAAAAAAAAAATTTGATTAAAATAATGAATAAAAAAAATAGATCATATTTTTAATTGAAACATTAACTTACTCATCATTTTCTGACATAATTAGTGGATTTTTCATCTCTTGACTATTTTCATTTGATTCAACTAATGTTACTTTAAAATCGCCTTCAACATCATATGGATTTGTTATTTCAATAGTTGATTTTGTCACTTTATACAATGGTGCTTCGATGCGATGCATTTTCTTAAATATAAACAACAGTTTAATAACAAGCTGAATACACAAGTAGTAAAATTTCGTGTGTTACATTTGTATTCACACACAAACATGATTTTAGTCTATTTACTGAGTTTCTCTTAAATTTTCATGATTTTTGAGAATCGGTTGCTCTTTTTTAAAAACATACATCACAAAAATTGATAAAGCATTTATTTAAAACAGAGAGTGTTATTTTTAGTGTACTCAACTAATTACTCAAAATGTCTCCGAATTTTAAATTGTAATTAGGAATGCACTATATATCAAGTACATATCGGTATATGAACGAATTAGTATCAGAATTTGAACTATAAATTCTCTAGCTTTTATCTAAAATTCTGTTTTGTTGATGAAAGCGTAAATTAAAATATGGAGCAACTACCGTGGATTATTTAAAAAAAGCAAATTACTAAAGTTATTTTTCGAAGAACACTTATCGGTATACGATACATTTTTTCACTCGAATATCACACATTCTTTTAGCTGTTGTTGATTTTTTTTTTTTCAGTTAAATAGCAGTTACGTTAGCATATTGTACAACGAAAATGTGTTCACTGAAATTTTAATATGTGCACATAGCCGGTACAATGGGAAAAGCAAATATATTTCACAAAATACATCACGTATATGTCTATTTTTACCTTTGTCGAATAAACACACTATGAAATATAAAATTAGCAAACCATGCAAAACACAACGGGTATTCTAACAACTCTACATACCTTTGGAGTTATTTTTTCAATAGAACCTTGTAAATTGAATACCTATATGTAGAGAAAATGAAAAGTTAGATGTTTAACTGTTGATAATTAAGTACTTACCATGGCTACACCGGGATAGTTTGATGATCGTTTGCCGTATAGTACAAGAACTGCTTCTGTTGCTCGTAAACGTTTATTTTTACATTGTACAGTGACAAATGATGATGTTTTAGCTGGAATATTGACTTGATTTCCTTTTGGTATTGAATATTCAGCAGCATCACGTCCAATAACGATCATCATATACGATAATGTTTGCTAAAAATCAAATGAGCTATCTGTAAATCTGAAAAAATAAATATATCCACATACTGTTGATGGATTTGTAATTTTAACTTGAGATGTTGATGTTTCATGTAAAACACCAGAAAATTGTGCAACTCCTTTTGGTAGATATTCTGGTAAACGTTCATACAAGTATATTACAAATAAACACATGCAAATTGGATCAGCACGCGTAATATCCAATGCTTGAATATCATATTCAAGACCGATTAGTTGTATTGCTGACACGAGTATTAAGGCATTTTGTAAATACTGTTCACCCGTCATTGGATGAACATACATTCGTTGTAAATGGGAATCAATCTTACAACAAAGTAATCTAATAGAATACAGTGATCACATTAGAATATTCTATTCTTACTAAAAATGGACAATAGGCACCAAGTACAGTGCCTAGTACTATACTATCAACTAGATCAACGTCGAAGTTAACTATCCAACGACCGGGTGGTATTTGACCTAAATAAAGAGAATATTTTTCTTTCTTTTCTCTTTTTAAGTTCCATACACGTAGCTGGTTGAACAACGAGGCAAGTCTCGTTAAGTTCTCCTATAGGTCGCAGACTGAGCAAGGAGCATTAGTAGCATGCCAGAGCTATTATGTGGCTGACATTGCTAGGGTTCGATCATTGCACCTTTGAAGTACGATATCATGTCAGTTCAAACATGACGGTTGAACAGTGAGAAGAACAGACTTTTTGTTACCCCACTCTTGTACATAATGAAATTATCCATTTAAAAATGAATGAGACATGATCTTTGATTTACCCTGTTCTCTGTGTGCCCACACTTGTTCACGATAATTTGAAAAACAATAATTTAACCATGTTAATAGAACACGTTCACCTATACTATAAATGTTACTGATTGTTGGCTCAGGATTGAAGTGTGGTAATGGTTTAGTTCGATCAGGAATCGGAAGATTTTCATAGGATTTGGGAGTTATACGACCGAGAACCAGACTCTAAAAAACGTAAATAAGATGTAAAACTTCTAAGTGCAAAGAAGTTTAAGACGTATATACTTTAAGAACTTGCATAAGTAAATCAACCCACGCTTTTTTTGATACAGTTTCAAATAGTTCGGTAGATAAATGTAAAGGTTTTACTGTCTCTTTAGAAAATTCTTTATCTTTTTCATTATCACTGATGTGTGGTGATAATGCTGTTTCACGCATCTGAACATAAACGTTGTAGAGTTGAGATGGTAAAAGATATTCTGGACGAATGAAACATGTACAGGATCCTTGAGTTCTGAAATAGAAAATCATTATATTTATCCATGATAAATTCGGCAGTGTTAGTGATTAAACCTACTTTAAAAATAACAGTAACAATCGATGTTGCCATAAATACTGTTTCATTGCCTCATCCATTTTCTTAGGTGGTACAGAATTTTGTGGAATACCTACAAGATCTTTATTTGTTCAAAACAGAACTTAAAAGAATGAAAAAACAAACCAGGCAAGTGGTGACCACTTAAATGTGTGATCATATCATAGATTGTTTTTTGTTCTTCTTTAGCATTTTGTTTTGTGCCAATGGTTTCAAATTGCCGTTTGAATAACCCACTAGAAAAACAAGAGCATAGTATGACCTTTATAATGCCAGCAATATTTTGCTGATTTCTGTCTTCTTTTTAATCAAATACCACATACACTAAAATGTTTATGAATGAGCATACGACAACAACATTTTTCTTCTGTCGACTGTCTTATTAGAACAAAACTAGGGAAAATTCTTCTGTTTGTGTCATTAGTTACTGTCATTTCAGACTTGAGTTCGTCCAAGTTATTAGTTCTTTCGACTATTTCCGTTTGTTTTTGCTGATCATAAATCATTCTTCATTTTTGTATACTTTGTGATGAAATTAGCTGGAAAGTTAAGAGAATTTGTATCGAATAGAATGTTTAATGTATGTAATGATGAACTCTGAATGTAAACTCATTCAGAGTTCATCTTAGCAACGTGACGAGTGCACTATTTTGTAGAGCACTTTATGTTTAAGAGAGTTGCGTTCACAAACAAGTTTAGAGTGAAGAAATCAATAAGATTCTAGCGTTTTAAAACAGTTCTCTCATATCAAGTGGTATAGAAACCTTTCTAATAAAACAATCAAAATTTACTACGTAAAATCAAATGTAGGTAGTCTGTATATTCTTTTTACGGTCATTGGAAAAAAATTTCTAACTCTTCAACTTGAGTGTAGATAAAGAAAATATCGTATGATTACCCACCATGCGTTAAAAATTCGTTCATTTTTAAAGAGACCACTTGAAAAATGAGAAGACAATGGTGTAAAGAACTAATGTTTAGGGTGAACGAAAGTCTGAAATGACAATAACTGATGGCATAAACAGGAGAATTTGTTCCCTAGTTTCGTTTTAATAACAGTCGACAGAAGAGAAATGTTATTCTCGTATGCTCATTCCCAACGTCCACTGTAACTTCAGCTACAAACAGACAAAAATTCTCCAGACTAATTTATACTAGTTTTTATTAATTATTTAATTTATGCTAGATGTGGTATGAATCGGAGAATATTTAAGCGAAATTTTTAATCCTATCAAGCTTATCATGATACATTTGGCTAGCTATAGTAAGGGAATCCTATCAGAAATCGATGTTTCTGATAAAAAACTCGAAATTGAGTTTGTTGCCTAGTTAGATACGCAGAACTCTTCCTTTTCAGAATCTGTGTCGTTTTCCACAAAAAAGTTAAGTTATCATGGGTTTTTTGAGAGGTTTTAGATTAAACCTTAGATCTATTACTACGATCATCTTAACGTTTTTCTAGAAACATGGTTTTGGCACAGTAAACACAGTAAAACCTCCTAGACGGTTCATCATACGACCTTCATTTTTGTTTTGAAGCTAACGACATTTGTCTAAACATTGTCCGTGGTGATTTTTGAATTAGGTTTCTTGAGTAGAGAAAAATGGGAACTACAGCCTCGAATTACAAGGGTTTTTCGGGGTGTTGACTTAATGTGTGTGTAGAAAATGAACTGAAGCGAAATTTAAAAATCACCACAGATAATCTTTACATAAATGTCTTGCCTTCAAAATAAAAAAATAATAAAAGGTTGTACGATGAGCCATCTAGAAGGAGTAACAATTTTGCTGAGAGCCCCTTGTGATACCTATAACTCGGCAAATCTCCAACTTTTTGTGCTCGTATTTTTAGCATAAGCTAATTAGATAGTAGCCATTAATCTCTGTAAATTTCATCAAAAATTGTCGTAAAACAAAAAAGGTTTTTCCTGAGGAGGCCCCTTTAAATAGACTTTGAAGCTATGAAAAGCTTAAAGAGTTCGACGGATTAAAGACAGGGAGGTTTGAAGGAATCAGAGCGACAGATGTAGATATTTAGAGGATCTGAAAATAGTTGTATACGAAAAGCCTTATTGGGGAGGTTGACAAAATTAAAAACATCAGTATATCTCAAGAGAAAATTTTTTCTAAAAGTTCATATAAAAATCGACATTAGAGTACAGTTCTATATTCTGATACTCCTCGCACTATGCTATCTTTAGGATACATAAGAAATAGCGAAAATACGTCATCTTCTCTTAAAGATACGCACAGACGAAGATGACTGTCTTTTAGTATCTGTATTCAAGAAAATTTTTACCAGAAAAAATGATCCGAAACGATCTCTGATTGTACTGTTGCTCCTTCTATGGCATATAGAGTACGGAAAGTTGCTCAAAAGGTGGCTCAAAGAACGCATTTTATTTAATTATTCTAATACTAGTGGTTGATTTTGCTATTTGCTTGTGTTTTCCTTATCCTCCATTTTTTCCGTTTCTCTCTTTCTCTCTCGATTACATATGTTAAAGTGGATTATATTTGATTTTAAACTATTCTGAAGGATCGAAAAACAAATAAACAATCCGGCAGCATACCATCGAAATGTTGTTGGTATTTTTACTGGATATGTTCCTTTCGGCCATCCTTGATTTGAAAACCAACGTTCTAATATTGACACAAGCCAATGAAATGTTTTAGTGTCATTATCAAAATAGGGTAGTAATGCTGCATTCAATTCATTTTGATTATTTTCACCCACTGAACTAGCACCGGAACGAACACGAGCAAACGGTGTCTAAAATAAAAATACCTTGAACAATTAATTTTTTTTTCTAGATGAAATACTTACTGGCGTGCGTTCATTTCTATTTTGCGGTGAATTATTTTCACTTGACGTATCTTCACTCTCATTTGCTTGATCAAATGTAGCACTTGTGCTCGTATTGGGTCTTGAATTTGAACTTGATATTGCACGTTTTTGAACAAGTAATGGTTCACCACTTTTATGACTTTCATCAGATTTTATTCGACTTCCTTTCATTATTTGTCCCGGTTGTACAACAATATGATATTCACTTTCAGATTTCCATAAAAATGAATAACATGTAAACATTGAATTATCAGCTGTAACACACACTTCCAATTCAAAACTAAACAATAAATATTAACAAGTTATTAGAAAGATAAGTAAATAATTCTATTCATCTCACATATTTTTCTCATTATCAGTCAATTTGAGGATAACAGTTTCGGATATTGATTTTGAACTAGTAAAGAATACTTTTAATACAATATCTTGTAGTTCATCCGGATTAATAACTAAAAATGAACATTTTATTTTATTTCTGTGGACTATATTATACAGCAAATAAAATTACTTACATGGTTGATCAACAAATGATGTACTTAATTCATACAGAGCGTCTTGTTGTGATTTTTCTGGTTGAATTACACTTAACTGTGTTGATCTATTAAAGAATCAATAGTAGTAGTAAAACCTACGATAATTAAAATTGAAGATATCGAACATACTTTTCAAATCCTTTCGGTTTAATTCGTACACAAGCGTTCTAAAATAAATTACGCAGCTTCATTAGCGATGCAAAGCAACAGCATATTGTTACTTACACTTTCAATATCAAGTGGCACTGGCGATAGTATTACTCTTCGTGGCTCAAATACTAACGTTGGCATGACGACTTCACCATAAAGATTGATCATTGTATAAGGCGTATCAAAATTATTATTTATATACAACGGAATCCGTGTTACATAAATACCAGGAACAGCTAAAATTGAATAAGAGACTAGAATTCTGTAGATTATTAATGATGAATATAACATACGTGGAACAAAATTCACTTTGAATGCAAATACTTCTTTTCGATCTAATTCACCTTCGGGACCTGGAGTATTTGGTGATGAAATAAATGGTATTAATGTGGAATGTAAAATTCGAAAAACATCATTATCTAATGTGACATTATTACGAAGATCAAGTAACCATGAAACTTTTTTTTTGCTATTATTAATCAATAGAATCTCCTGAAATTTAAAAATTAATCTTTGATAAGATATTCAAATTTTCGATGATTAAAAACATACCTGACAATCACAATAACCTCCTTGTTTCATGGCTTGAAATTGATCGCCATACAACGTAAAGTGTAATTCTTTTGTTGAAACTTGCAAACATTCTGATAGAGCTGTTGCTCGTACATGCCGACGAATAAGTGGACGAGATGGTTGTAAAGCTTGTTGTTCACTAGCACTTAATATTCGTCGTTCTTGTCGAATTGATGACGATGGTTTTGATGACTGAGATAAACCTTCAACACCGACTAATGGTGGACAGGTTCGTATTGGCAACATGAAATCATAAAATGCTATCTAAATAAATTAACGCGATGTTAGACACCTCTTATCGAATAAATAAATAGATAGTTAGCAATCAATAATGTTCACCAAGCACGTAGAAATGAAAGATGTAATGTTTCATATACCTCAGCTGGAACGAGTACGAGAGCAGCTTTAACAGTCTCCTTTGGTTGTACAATAATAGTGTAGATTTGTCCATTTTTTGAGCAACATTCTTCATTTCCTAAAATTTGATACGTTAATTAGCGGTAGGAAAGTGGAATTACATTATTTATCATCTACCTATTGCTGGATGTGTCTCAATACTAAAATCGGGGTATTTTGATAAGTTAATTTCCATTACACCCTGTGTATCGCCCTAAAATTTATGTCATTAAGCAAAAGTTAAATGAATGCTTTTAAAAAATCATTATAGTATTATCAGTGACACGTCATCATTCGACAAAAATCATTTATTCATATTAAACTTCATTTTACGTTATTTAAGTTTAACAGGTTTAGCATCTAGCGAGTGTACTAGATTAAATAGCACATTTTTGTACAAAGTTTTTCTCTAGAATGGACTCTTTTGTCTAGAAATTCTGTTTTAGTGTCAGAAGACAGAGAATTTTTCTGCTCTACAAGAACCCAATAGTTGCATTATTTACAGTGTTTTGTTATGTAAACAAAGACACATAACAAGGTGATACTGCGATTGATATACAAAAAAATGTTGCAATTGTCAATATTCGATCACTTTGTGTAAATAAAAATAAAAATTGTCTGAAGAGGGTATGGTGTAAATAAAATCAAACTGATTTCAGGTCTATTTCAGGTCTATTTCTTGCTAAAACGTACTATATCAGTCTGTAAGTTTATTAAAAAAGTCAACTAATATTTTTAGTTTTGGTGTTCAGAGCTATGAACCAAAATAACCGAACAATAACGTATGAATGTAAAAAAATATAGTTTTCTAGAACAGAAAAATGACTATCCTTTGCTTTACAGGAACAAAGCCTAACGACTGCATGATAAACCGTAAATAATACAAATATGAAAAAACAACACACCATTTTTGGACAACGACCGTTAAGAGAAAACTCCTGATTTATCACCCTGTTGGTAAATGTGAGAAGAAGGTCTGATTGAGTTCAAATTCCTACCAGACATAATACATTGAAAACAAAAATCGGTGTATTTTTATCCAGAATGTTCTTCTATGGGTTTTCACATGTATATTATGATCCTCCCCTCCCGAAAAGTTCATCCGAAGGAACTCAACATTTTACCACCGATATCTTGGATGATATCTCCGAATGCAATTTTTCTTCTTCGTCTCCAAGTTTTCTTCCTCAATATCAAAAGTACTAGAAATTAAATTAAATAAATTCTCGTTTTTTTATTTTGAGAACGCTGCACCTCACTGGTGAGCTACCCTATGCCCAATCGTTTTCTTTTTAAAATATACGCGATTAAATGTCTTTTGATGCTGATCATGAATATTATATTCTTTTTCATCTTAGAGCGTTCCTAGAAATCCGATTTCTGCAAGCGCACTACCAGCTTCTATTTAAAGGAATTCTGATACAACCAGTTTGTAGACCATGATGAGTTGTCTATCTAAAAACGTTTTGGAAGCTAACGAATGAGCTTTAACTAACATATGAGACTTGTATGAATACTGAACGGTTCAGAAGTTAGGCTTAAACAAAGTAGAAAACAACTGGATATTTGGACTGGTAGATGGTCAGAAGAAAAAAAATCAGAAACGAAGACATAAATTTGCATTCTAAAGTATATATAAAATATCGATAATAAAACTTTTTTGTACGATTGGATGAAGTTTTTGGGCGGTTGTAATCTGCAAAAAATTGGAACTATTAGTGTTTTGAATATTACAAGTATCATAAGATAGATCTCTTTTTTTAGGGCAAAATTTGTGTCAATGCTCATATCTTCAGTAGTCTCATTGTGAAGAGAATACTTAACTTCATCAGATTATGTATAAGAAAAAATCGTGAAAATACTGGAAGGGTTTTTTTCTCAAAAAAAAGTCGTGAAACACTCGGATGGTTTTATTTTGTTACCTTGACTCTCCTCTACATTAAGCAATATTCAACTCAAAATTAAAAATTTTCTGAAAATGTTACTACTCAGTGCAGATAAACTGGATCAAGACAAAACCCTCCCGCTCTGTATAGCCGTAATTGAGAGCAAACTAATAAACTCTTCACCAGTGAAAAAAATTACATTCAGTTCTTTGCATCGCAGTTTCACCTGTCTTTGTTCTTCATATACATAACAAAACATTATATTATTGGGAGGTATTAATACAGCTATTGAATTTTTGTAGAGCAGAAAAATTGTCTATCTTCTGACACTAAAACAAAATTTCTAGACAAAAGAGCCCATTCTATGGAAAAACTTTGTATAAAACTGCGACTTTAATCCAGTCCATCCGGTACTAAATTAATTTTTCCAGTCAACAAAAATATATTTTATTTTATTTGTCACTACATCTTGTTTTTACTTTGTGGAAATTACAGTTACCTCTGAATAATCCGTTTCGTTTTATAAAATGTTGTGCTGAGCGTTTTATGCCCAAAATGAGAAGTCTCCTCTCTACTATCAATCTTGTTGATCTGTAATTATATTTTTAAAAATTTTATGAAAAGTTTTCTTCAGTTCTTCAAAACAATAACTGTGGATTAAGCTGCAACGTACAACTGGACATCTGAGAGCAATTATTGAATATTTATTTCAATTCATATCCACAGTTGGTGACAACATTACAAAACTTATTCAAGATAAAACGTCGTAGATATTACCAACATGGTAAACAGCTACATGTATCACATCCTTTGCGATCTAATTGGCTACCACAATTGCATGGAATAAAACATAACATTGGCATACACATTGGATTTGGTAATGACCATGTATTTCCAAACAGATTATTCGAATTACTAAGTAGACGACGTTCAATGGGACTTGAAGATGTAAAACATACCATGGATAAAAGAAATATCAATAAAGAAACAATTATGAATCTCATGATTATATTAAATTTGATCAAAAAATGAAATATTTTAATACTAGCAATATACCTGTTAAAAATTAACAATTTATATACAATATGTTATCAACAGATGGAATATATCTCACAGAAATATTAATTGACCTAGATATAATATGTTCGAGGTTCGATTTTTTAGAAAATAACAACAGAAAGATTCATTCTCTACAATATTATTGCTACATTCACACTAAAATAAACTTTTCGGGCATATATGACGAAACATTATTCGATTTGATACCGATTGATACAATGTTTCATGATAAAGAATACGTAGCACAACAACTCATGAGAACCGAATAATTAATTAGTACCAATGCTCCTATTTCAATAAAAATGTATTGAATTAAAACTTTTCAACAATAATAGGAGCCCTCATCGACAGATATTCTGCTAGCTTTTTCATAAGTTTTTAATTAATGTATTGAGGTCCAAGTGTAGCTTTGTCGTATGCCGTGTCTGTCATTATTCTAGAAGGCGACTCGTTTCTATATCTCTTTCACAAGTTGATCCACATACAACTATTAACTAAAAGACAATGCACAGTTTTGTTGGTCTTAAAATACTTAATCACATGAGATGTCACACTTTCTATCGATCAAAAATGTCAAAACTCGACATGATATATGATTTTTTCACAAAATTTTCAATTCATATTGCAAGCAAAAACCTTGAACATCAACATTTCATCTTTTTCAGTTAAAATTATTTTAGCAATTCTGATTATATCTTCGCGAGAATGCTGGTTGATGCGGATAAACGCTATAGAACTAAATGTATTAGTTTATCGTGATTATGTATCAAATGAAGTTATTTATATTGTGATATATCCATTTTACAAATATTCTTAATATATTCGTGATTTAAATTTACCATATATCCTCCTCTATTAGATTCAATCAGAATCACGTCTTTTTTTACCTTATTTTCTATATGAAATTGTTTGCTTGCTCTCATTAATACCGGTACACCAGCAAAATTGAATTCATTCTAGAAGCAATTTGTACTATATTTAAAAATACTAAACATTAAAACATCTAATTTACTTCTGTAATAGTCAATTCCGGTTCAACAACTTCTCCAGTGACGCGTATTTCCTGTTGTTGTTGACCAAGTACTTTTAATCCAATCTTAATATCAAATTTTATTAGTTCAATCGGCGTCACTTCAATTATGATATTTGCATGTGAACCAATTGACACCAAACCATTTGCTGGTCGAACAATAACACCGGGACAAGGATTTGGTTCAGTAATCTATAAATATCAATTGAAAACATTAATGAAACTTTACATATGTTCATCGTTTAGTACATACTTGATAAAAGATATGATTTGTGCCATCATTGATGATTGTAAATGATTTTGTTGATGTCATATTAACGGGAATTGTTCCAAAATTAACACGTTTTTCTGGTATTTTAAATTTTGCCTTACCCACCTTTAATAATAAAAGAGTAAATGAATCAATCTATTATATGAATAGAAGGTGATCTAGAATACAAACTTGAGCAATACATTGAAGAACTTGAGTGGATTCACTCGGTAATAAAGGATTGTTTCCAGAAACTTTTCTAGCATCCGATGTGGAATAAACATGCAATGTAAAATAATTTTGCAATGGTGCTACACAACTTCCAAACCAAACAACTTCACAATCAATATCCTGATATGGTTCAATTACACCTAATAGTAGATACAGAATTTTCCCTATAAATAAAATCGATGTTTTTTTTAAAGAAAAACTAACCTGTAGCTGGACGTATAGAAAATGCTGTTCCTTTCGAACCAATAACAGGTGTCCATCTAAATTCAGCTGGTGCATTTAATGGATTATGTAACGTCACCACTTTTCGATAAGCATCTTCGGCGGTAAGATGTGCTACTGAACGTATGTATAATTTATCTGTTCCTAATTCAATGGTAGGTGAGCGTACTTCAGCAATTACTTTGACATAATGACGATAAAAACCATTAATTATATAAGATAATGAACTGAAACAGTAGAAATTTCTACATAATAACAGGTGAGAATTATCTGTAGCTTACCGTTGATATAGACCAATTTGTGAAGGTTCAAATGTAATAGGAAATCTTGCATGAGATTTGCCAGGAATCACTTGACATAGGATAGAAGTCATTTTTAATGATGCAGAATCAACCTTGATAGAAATTACATCGATAAATTAAGAATACTAAAAAATAAATAAATAATTGGATCTTACATCGATTTGCATTTGAATATATTGATCGAGATTATTCATTACAGATAAATACTTTGTTACTGGTGCATGTACAGCAACTTCACCAAAATTTAATTCAGGTGGACCTAAAAATATAATGTTGACAATGTTGAGATAAATACAAATGATTACCTAATTACATACCAACAACAACTTGAAATAACTGTGATGGAGATAATAGAACGGCACAATCATTTTTTTCTTTTTGAGTTGTTGGCAAAGAACTTAAACCTTCTTTGATTGGTTTATTTAATAATGTTTGCTCTTGTTCGGCTAATTCACCCGTTGTTGGCATTCTCCACTTCCAATTAGGAAATTGAGGAGCTAAAATAAATAATGACAGTAGTCATTGACTCATTTGAATTCATTTCATACCAGTGCTTTTATTCATAGATGCTTCAACATCTTCTATGGAAATTTTTGGCGATTGCAAACCATTTCCGGGTCTAATACCAATATCCAATAAATTTTCAAATTTTTTATGTTCTCTAAAAATAAAATTATATTACTAACATTTATTTTATACTCTTCTAGCACATATATACTGTGTTCGTTTCTTTTCACCACGTTTAAATCTTGATTCATCAAATATTGTATCATATGAATGTTGATGTGCTTCAATTTTTTCACGTTCTTGATCCGTGTAAGAATAATCGGGATCAACGTAATTGTACCGCTCTTGCTTTGTAAATGGTGTTCTAAACGTGTAGACTATCTTTTTTTTTCTTTTTTTTTCTAGTAAACTTAAAAAACGTACGTATAACTATCTCCTCGTTCAAATGGTCGAATACTTCTGGTACGATCATTTGGAAAAGCAACTTTTGATTTTTTAAATTTATCCAGATATGTTTCAGATGAATTCCGTTTTAATACTAATGGAGAATGTGTTGAATCAGATACAGAATTGAGAACAGCTGCTCTGGGATGAAAACGTCTTAATGTACTTAGTGTTGTATTTATATTAATACCAACTTCATTCGATATCAACGGTTTTAAACCTATAAAAAAAAATGATATGAAGTAAACTAACGTACGTATAACAATTGAACAACTTACCCATATTAAATTTTTCTGGAGGAATTTCAGTGATAGCCGCTGCTTTTCCAGTTAATTCACATGTGACACTATGGATAGGTTTAGATAATGCATAGACAGGCGTATCGGGATTCACCATTGATCCAATGATTTCACATGTCAATGTTTTTGTTATTGTACCTTGAAGAAAAGACTTTGTCAGATGAGTTTTTATCAAGTATAAATTATAATTTACCCATTTGATGCGGAATAAACATGACAATTATTGTTAACTTTTCTCGTGGTTGTAATTTTCCACTTGCTGGTGTTACGGCAAAATTAGCTACTGGTGGAAAACGAAAATTAACTGTTTTATGATCAGATTGATTATAGATATGTATGGTTTTTTCATGTTTTTGACCCAAATAGGTTGTAGGAAATGTTAACACTTTTTGATCAATTAAAAAAACGACGGGTAATGCTGTGCCGGCAATAGCAATTTCTAATTTTGTTTTACTATGTTCAATTTTTGATAAACCAGGTGAAGTACCCAATAATTCAAAATACATAAAAGCGGCTATGTCTCGCCTAGGTGGTAAATCAAGTGCATTTGTAAATGCTTGTCTTGGATGATAAGCTCTAAAAAATATACACCCTATCTAAGATATAATTTGTATAAGCTTCGAAAGATTTACCGTGGACTAAAACGAAAGAATAACGGACGTTTTTCAAATGGGTTCAAGACACCTTGATTTGGAAATACGGCAATAATTGAATTCAATGGATTTATAGAGTATTCTGTTCCAGATGGTTCTGCATTTTCGACCTCCTAATGAAGAAAATGCATAGTTAAAGAAAATTGAATCCACGAAATAAATCTCATAAATTTACAGCTGGATTTGAGCTGTCTAATAATGCTGAATAAGCAACGGATTCTGGTGAATCATTGTATAACACAGCCATGGCTGTTAAATCACAACCATAATAACACGAGCCAAAATTTAATATTTGCATTTCTTCGTCAGTTTTTGGATTTAATAAACACAATCGTCTATGCATTACTTTTCCTTTAAGGCGAATTGTGTGAGTTTTATTAGCCGCTTCTAAACTGAAACAGGAAACAGAAATGTATTGGAAAACAAATAGGTTTCCTTATGTAAGTACGTACGTTGCTATATCATCAATGAGCATGGCATGAGATGAAGTGAGCAATGAGGCCTGCAGCGAAAAAGAAAGCAAGTAGCTAATGTCACACTGAATCTTTAGTTCTTAACACCACTGTTTACACGATCATTTGCCTACAAAACTGCTTAAAATCTTCAAATTATTTACCTCAACTTCCACGAATCCATCGTGTTCCACCACAGCCGTTTGGGGAGTGAAACCAATTGCGTGTTCACCTTTGTACTCAATTTTGTATGGAACTGAGACAGCACCTGTATTTCGTACAATAATTTTCTTATAGACTGTTTTATTGTCTGCCACGTGTATACCAAAATCAATGGATTCATCAACTGTAATTTCTGGACGAGCTGGAAACGATGAAATCGCTATAGGTAATTCTTGCCCATCAATATCAACTACAATCGAATCACGAATTTCTTGTGATGATTTAGCTGTGTATTCTAAAACTCCTGTCACTTCAAGACCAGGTGGCACAGGATGTTCTGGGTTTTGGCATGTCAATGCAAAATCCTACCACGCACAAAAAGATAATCCCAATTTACATCACATGTGACGCAAAAATTTCATTAAGACATACTTTACTAGCCGGTCTAAACAATTTTATTCGTTTACTTTTGCTACCAACGTTTTTCACATGGATTGTTTGACGATAAACATTATTGGGTACAACATGTCGAAGTATGATTTCATGTGGCTCGATTACAATGCCGAGATCTTTAAAACGCATTATTATATCGGCCTAAACTCAAAAACCAAACAATCTAAAAAATTTGATGTATTAAAATCCTTTACTAACACTTTAAGTTATTTTCTAAATTAGTCTAGAGCGTGGCCAGCCAGCTCTGCTACTCCACGGGAATTCAGTGACGTTTTTTCTTCATTTTGTTGTGTCGATATATACCAAATCGAACTATGCAAAGAGTTGCGAGACGTCTTAAATTGAAGCGGAAAGTCTTGCGAATATTTTCAGCTGTATCTGCACTCTAGAAGATCCCTCTTTCGGAAGATTTTAATAAAACATTGCTTTTCCAAAATTCAAATTCTTCAGCATCAGAAAGTAGTCCTCAGTGTTCTATTAAGATCTTCAGAAAGAGGGATTTTCTAGAGTGCAGATACAGCTGAAAATATTCGCCAGACTTTTCTCTTCAATTTAAGACGTCTCGCAACTCTTTGCATGGTTCGGTTTGGTATATATTGACACAACAAAATGAAGAAAAAATGTCACGGAATTCCTTATGCAGTAACAGAGTTAACTGGCCACGTCGTTTAGTCACTTAGTTGTTCTTTAAATTAGACAACACTAGAACAAGTATATCCAAAAATAATATGACAATTTCAATTCGACGGATAGACATCAAAATATGAAACGAACTATCTGTCCAGGTGATAAAGTCTTTATTTTCTGCTCTTAGATATTCCATACTATAGGAAATGGTTTATGGTTACAGAAAGAACCTTAAAGCTTTGAGTAGAGAAAGTTTTTATTCATTCTTTTTAACTTTCAATGAATAAAAACTTATTCAGCCGAACCGAGCAAGCAATATTAACCTAAATTTTACTGAATATGTATTTAAAATTCCTTTCTCATCTTAACTACTGTTACCGCGTTACCTGCAGAATTTCACGAGAGTATAAAGAGCTTTTGAATTTAAATTAATTATCTCTGACGGTGAACAGATCAATACTATACTAAAAAGAGAAGTTCAGAAATACTATCATTTTACGCAACGGTTCATGGTTTTAGGTTGCTTTTTCTGCACTGTTTTTCCGTTTACATTATTGCTGTATCACTTGTGAGGTAACCAAGCAACAGTTGTTAAAGCATTTCTCATAAATATTGTAAAACATTAGTGCACTATACAGACGATTGTAATTTTATACATTTTACAATACATATTTACATATATTATCATTTAGTGACTACTGAAAAACGATACACAATTTCTTTAAGCCTTTATAACACTGAAAATATTTTCGTACATAGATCACGTGGATATATCTAGCAGTAAATCACATGTGAGTGACTCATTCATGTTTGACGTTTCTAACTGAGAATATATGTTTAACTTGTATATTTAAAGTGTGAACATTAGAGTGTGAAACTAATAATAACAAAAACAAAGAAAACAACAAACACATATTAGTTTGATAGAAACAGATGAATAATGATCTTTGTTTTACTTTCTCTTTTATTTTTCATACCGATTTCGTCTTTTTTTTATAATGTATTGTTTCAGATCTATAGGTTAGATACATATAAACATACGCGAAGCACTCAAAAATTTCAGAAAAAAAATGTCGATTCAACAACAATGTGGAACAGGTAGGCTATTCATAAATTCTGACTCTTGATTAAGTGTAATTTCGAATTTGTGATATTTATTTTACCAGATTCTTGGATTGATATTCAATCGGAAAATAATGTTCAACAGCAACCTCAAAATCATTCACAAATACTGTCTGACTCATTTTCTGATATTCACATGTCATCAAGTGTTCATATTAATGAAAATCTTTTACTTGAAGCACAAAAAGAGTCATGTGTCGGATCTGTTAAAGATTCAAATAGTGATCGGTATGTTCAAGGTCAGTATGTTTGTTTATATTCAAATAAATAATCTTATCTTACTTTCTGTAGTTCCTCATCGCCAAAATCGCCAAAAAGTCTATCGCCTACAGATCAAACAAATCGAAATGTTGCTGAATGGATGATGTCTTGGTCAAGTCGTGTTGAAGCTGAACCACCAAAGTCAGTTATTTAAATTTAAACATACAACACATGCAATTCAATAAATTGTATTGTTTTCATTTCGTATAGAGAATGGAAATTTATTCATCCATGTAATAAAAGCGATCCAGCTAAATTTGATGAAGATGATAGCGATGAGAATGAAATGAGAAAAGCAATTGTAGAAAAGAAAAGTTATCGCATAATTGTATTAACAAATGCTTGTAGTTTTATACTTGGCATGGGCATGTAAGTAACTACAATTTTATTCGCATTTGAAATTCGTGTGATGAATAAAAATGTTAGCAATATGCAATTTTCTTACTTCAACAGTTGTCAAAAGTAAATATAGTTTTTCTCTTTGAGATCACAGATGATTTTTCAGTCAGTTTATCTACTCTTAGTCCTGAACGAGTCTTCGAAAGAAAACATTTTTTTTATTCGTAGGACGCTTCTGGGATATGAAAAAACTAGCGAGGTTGTATTCTCACGAAGCGGACTGGAACCGTTTTTGTCTGCAGACGTGATCATTACTCAACGAGGATCTAATCTAAACCTTCAGAGAAAAATAAACATGAAATTTTCTATTTATTTTTGTGTATAACTGTTTCGAAGTAAAACATAGCGTTTTATGGCATGGAAAGAAAAGTTTAAGAATATTGACCGACCGAGAGAAACACTGCTGCCCAGGGATGCCAATTAAGCAAATAGTCGCGAGGAAAATTTTTCCTACACAGAAAGACAAGACAAAACATATTTCTTGTCATACAATGCCATTGGAAAAATCGAAACGAAAGTGTAATAGAAAAAGTAGGAAAAACAGAAAAAGAAATTCTTACAAGGGGGCACACCAAATTTTTGTATGGGACAAATCTTGAAGTGTGGAACAGGTTTGTGTTTTTAACAGGAACGGGATGAAGACGTTTTCCAAAGTGACAAAGTGGGACGGATTCTAAAGCATGGGTCCTCTGTGTTGGAATGGACGTTGTATAAAAGACTCAGAATTCGTTAGAATTTTGATAGTTAAGAATGAAACCGCTCTTACGAAGAAAAGGAATAATTTTTCCTATTTTGAACCATGATTTACGGAAAGACTGAATTGATCTGTATCTTACATCTAGCTGACTCAATTTAATATATCGAGGATGTTAGCTACCGTCTGGGACAAAATTTTATTTTCCATTACAATAGAAGCTCCTCAATGATATTTTTTTTCCTTAACACCTTGTTTTTGTGTATTTAGAATGTATTTATGCATTCGCCGATATCTAAGATTAAAGACACCAGATTTCTATACATTAGAATGATGAACATGAAAATATTACTTAATAACAATATAATGAACATATTGACACAACTGTTGCTTTTGTCGCTTTTTTTTCTCATTTGTATATACATATATGGACCGCATTTGTATAATATAAACAGGGCATAAGAGGGAGAGTTATAGCTTATCGACTATAATAGTTGTTAAGCTTGGACTTGAAATAAGAAACATTCCTTGTTATTTATTATCTGTTTTACTCATTTTATTTATTAGTATTAAATCATATGTTATTGATCACTTTTTCTCTGTTATAAAAAAAAAAATGAACGATCTCCCTCAAAAAGTGACGTTCTCATCAGTCTCCCTAGTCAGAATATTTATAGTATAGTCAACATCAACAGACATTCTGTTTTAAAAATCGATTTTATATGTGAAGCATCTTAGTCTCGATTTTCTATCGAGGATGACGCTCGCTCGACTATTATTATCATCATCATCAGTTTTATTTGTTTTATCTTATCTGTGTTAAAACAGCATACAAACACGAGAAATTTGTACATTTTATTAATTTATTGTAAATACATCATCACTATTACTGGCTTTTTTTTTGTTTTTCGTTTTTTTACAATTTGTTTGATCGTGCATTATTATTCTATATCAACAAGGTTATTTTTATCATTTGTTTCTGAAAGTTGATCTTATTATGAGTTTTTTTTATTGTTATTACCACGTCACTTTTATCATATTATTTGTCATCGGACAGGAAGAAATTGAGAACGCATTTGCATATTTTGCTGTTTGTTTTTGTTGAATGTTTTGTTGAACACATGCTTATCATTTTTCTTTATAATAAATATGAAAATAAACAAAAATAAAGTTAAAAACATAGTTGTGTCATCATTGTCGTTTAAGCTAAGAATATTGTCGAAAAAGACTTACTCGATAAGCCATTCTGATGATTTAAAAACGTTTTAGAAGAATTCATTTGGATTTTTCTATTACTATTTATTATTAGATATAGTTCAGAAATCAATTTGAGATATCTTTGATCTGTTTTAATCAAATTTTATCTTTTTTGCACGCACCCGTGTGGTACCACAGTATAGTTCAAGAGACAAGATAAACGGATAGTAGGTTTTTTACTAGTTTTATTCTTCGTTGCAGTCACACCCTCCGAATAGACTTGTTTTGTTTTAGGCGGTTTTGATGTTTCATTGATGTACATACAGTAGAACAGAATCATCTTTAATTTTAAAAAAAAGAGCTAGATGCTATGTGAAATATCATTGTATGCAATAAGTTCGTGACAGAAAAATAAAGAAAACCTATTGTGTAAACCGCGAAATAATATATATACACGGTTGATTATTTTTGTTAATTCATAGCTTTTTGAAAGTGAGAAAGCTAAAAAGGAATTGAGAGATGTTATCAAAATGTAATTTTACACGCTAATATAATTTGCAAGAGATACAAAGACTTTTGCAAAGAGAATTCGTTGAAAATGCCTCTCTGTTAGAGTAACCAAATCTGTTTTTGTTTGAAACTCTCATAGAAAAAAATAAACAATGTGGCGCATTATTGGATTTTTGTCAATATTAATTTTTCCTAAAGCTAACAGCCGGTTTTTTATTATTGTTCATCATTCTTATTATCATATTCATTGGTGTTCCATAACATACATGTATATTATCATTATCGATATTTCACGTTGATATAAGCTTTATTTGATTAACGTTGCAGAATATCTCCAGGCTAAGAATTTTCTTTTTATGTAGAAATACATATGGGTAATAATGAAATGTCTCATCCCGACAATATTAGCAATGGATCAGATCTTTCCAGAATCTACACAGAAACATGACCCGTTCTAATTTAAGAAACCAAAACAAGGAAATGTACCACATTTCCTTTGTGGAGTAAAATTTTACATCGTCGGTTTCATCACCATCATCATTCGGCTGCTCTTGAGCAGACGACCACAATCTTCTTCCATGTGTGCTTACTCTTAGCATTATCTATAATGTCCATCACTTTCCAATACTTCTTATCGTGAATATCATTGTTTAGCAAGTTCAACACATAACCAAGATAGTCCTGTGGCTGCTTCTCTAGATTGTTTGTACCATGCATTGGTTGAAACAAACCAAAGGGCTCAGCATCTGAACGCCTACAAATATGTCCTACCCACTCAAGTTGTCCTTTTTAACAATTGTCTTTATCAACTTGTCTGCACCTAGTCTGTTGTATATGGTAACATTGGAAATATGATCTCTATGCCTAATTCCAAGCATTATTCTACTTGCAAAACTATTTAATTTGCGTTTTATCTTTTCCGTTATTAACAGATTCCACTGCCATATAGCAGGATGAATAGGCAAGGTGCCTTAAACAGATTAACTTTGATGGGATCTGGTAGATGATTACTTTCTTCAAACTTTTTCCAGTTTCCAAAAACCTGACCATGCTTGTCCGATTTATACATACAAATACGGACTAAATGAGTATGCTCGTGTGCATTCTCTTGAAAGATGTGCAGGATAGTTGTGTGTTGAACCCTACCCGACTCTCTGATACCGGAGTCCTGGTGCTACCATGCTCTTTAAAAATTTTGAAAATGTCATTGGCAATAATTTCTTCTTTTTTTATGTAAATCAATTGCATCGATGAAATCATCGTTCTTTTTTAAAATTTCTTAGCAACAGAATGTCATCGACCGTTTCTTCATCTGATCTTTGTCGATGCCTATCCTACAGGGTAGGGTAAGGACGCCCGGCACATCTCTCATTCTGTTATATATCAGCTGTAAATAAGAAACTTTCTTATCTTAGAAAATATTTAATTTATTCAAAATTGATCCAGGTTTTTTCGGGATCACTTATTATTTGTTTTTTACAAAATTTTTGTAAACAGATCATTTCTAAATTTTTTTCGGGATTATTTGTTCTTTTATCTTTACTTTGTTATTCTACGAAAATCGAAGTTGATAGAAAGTAAACTTGAGCAAAGGTAACATATTAACACTGATCGTCTTTTTCTCTGTAAAATATCTGAACACTCGTTTTCAATCGACTTTGTCATTTGATGAAAGTGCTCTATAATTTTCTTCATGCTTACAATAATGAAGATTGTCTTAACATAATAAATGTTACTTTCCTTGTACCAAAATCTTACTTAACATATACGAGTTACCGGCGCCAATGCAGAAACATGAAAGAGAGAGATAAATTATAGACATGATTAAAATCCGTCAGTACATCGCACCACAAGCATTAAATGATTCTGTCGATTTGTACAATGCAAATATTTCAAATATTTCAATAAAATCATCACAAAATCAAGTCTATCACGGACTGACATATTTGAATATATTTAGTTTAGCTATTGTTGTTGTATGGACATTGGCATCAATGATATCCTTGTATTGTTTATGGCAATCATTTAATTTATTTCAACAAGAAGTTCAAGATGTAACATATGAAATTGTCGATTTTCATACAAATGATAGTGATGCTAAACCGAGGGAAGTGTTTCGTTTAACAAACTTACAAGATCTATCAAGACCTCATATCCAGCAGCACGCTTCAAAACAACGGCCTCCACCCCCAACTAGACAAACACGAACAGTTCCAAATCTTATTAAACACGTATAAAATTTCATTCTGAATGCATATTTTTATCAGAAAAATAACATTTGAGTTTTGTGAATAAAAGAAATATTAGGAAACTTGACGACTCTTTCCCTTTACGTGATGATTTATTTACCGTTCGAATTTTTCTTGAACTGAAAGAGACCAGGAGCAACGCGAGAAGCAACGCACCCTCAAAAAACAAACTATATTTTAAAACAAATCCTTAAAAAGGTGTTTAGCAGCCCAAAACCGTTTTTCATTTCTAAATCGAAGATTTTTATGGAAATTTTAGAAAACTCTTTTGAGTATCATAGGAAAACTTTATGTGATTGGTACCAACCCCAAAGGATCCGATTCCACTAAACCGCTTTTATAGGATTTTTGAAAATACGCTTTTTTTTAGAGAGCATGGTTGTAGATTTATTGCAAAGTATAATGATCCTAGTTGTTTTTTAACAAACTTTTGATTAGAAACAGCCAGAGAGTTGTGTTTTTCGCCAGACGATTGAAAACACTTTGGAGCATCGTTTCATGAAAACACTTGTGCAAAATCTTTTTTTAAGGTAGATTCTTTAGGTAGTTTGGGAAAACCAAAGTCATTGTGCAAAAACTTAAAATACGAGCATGTTGATTTTTCATCAGCAGATAGTACAGAGTATTCTTTTTAAATTGTGTCAAGCACAATCTACATTTTTAGTTATTAGATATAGTATCGAATTTTGTAGAAGCCCCAGAACTGGGCTTCAAAAAATATACATGACGACATTAGAATTTTTCAGCAGGTGAACAATCGACAAAAAAAGACCACTTAACTTCACGGATAACCAATAAAGTCACAGTCTAACTGTACAACAATAGGCAAAAAACTAGCAGTTAAATACACGACTAGCCGACTGGTGAACCTACATTATTTTGTTCTTATTTAAGACAAGTTGAGCACAAAATAAAGTCCATGATCGAGAAATGGGACCAATCACTGCCCCAGAACGTCAGCAATTTATGTATGCTAGAAAATACTAAAAATGGGGAAAATAAATAAGAGATGCGTAATGACGCAGATATTTCATGAAAAATCGAAAGTGATAGTTTTTCGTGTCAAATCAGACAGTGTTAAGCTTCACTATTAGAACAGAGTTATCAATTTAACGATTTGTCCTGTTTTTCCTCTAGAATTCAAACAGTCAAAGTTAATGAGAAGTGTATAAGTACTTTTACTTCCCAACTCTACTTAGCTACTTATAAATAGTACAGTCTGGTTTTCTAATGATAGTGTTTACTGTTGTATAGTTGTATATGTGTGAACTTTCCTATGGTTTAAAAACTTTCAATTCTTTATGCTAAGAATTCAACAAGAATAAAATTATTTTGAAAATACGACTGCGTTAAACTGAAAGCTATATCGAATTTTGGAATTAAAATTTCTAACGTCTACGACAACTTTTTGAAGAAGTAAATTTTGTCTTGAAACATTGATTTTTTCTTCAGATAAATTCTTATACGGTCTTACAGAAGCTTGGATGATCTTATGAGCCTCTCGCAAGTTTAAACAAATTCTTGTTACAATATCTTGTAAGATGTTATTACAAGAAAAATCTTGGAAACTCGTACGAAAACCCTGCGGACTTTTCCACGCACATCTTAAAAATACTTCGGAAGGATTTTATATGATTTTGTGAGGATATTAAAACGTCGATAGTACATCGGTAGTAAAAGCGTTAGAATAGTTTTTCTAATTTTATATTTACCAATTTAACAGCACTTCTAATCATTAGAATCCATTTTAAAGTTTCTCAAAGTGTGTTTTCTAGATTTTCAAGAAGTCCTATCATCCTTTCTTAAACATTTTGCTCTATATCATAACGCCTATTCTCTCTTGAAAGACAGACATTTATCGTTAACTCACTGTTATATATAATATGAGTAAAAAGGGAAGACGTTAATATGTTTTGCGCTCGGTATTATGAACAATTCTATTATACTTGCTAAACTCCATTATCAGGCTTTGTTAGGTAAGCAAAACAACATCTGAAGATTTTTAATAAGAAAATGGCAAAAACGTTTATAATAATTATTTTAGAAAATTTTTAGACATAAAAAATACACTGTTTTATCTGAAGTTAACAAAAAAACTACAACAAAATAGATATAGATGAAACTCATATTTGCAATACAAGATTTGGATCAACATGCAATGCTTTTATCACAATATGTTGAAAACTTTCAATTGTAGACAATATCTGAGTACGAGTTAAAGATTCAAGATAAATAATTTCTTCTAAATGATGTTCACCATTCAAATATTTTGCTATTCTAAAATAGAAAAAAAAATTGAATTTTTATAAATTGATATTAAGAATATATTCTTACTTAAGAAATTGATTCACATCATTTTCATTCGAATTATTAATTGCTGTTGCAACTCGTTGACGATAATCATTCGTTTCGTCTGGTAATGCCTGTTCTATTTGAAATAAATAACGTAATGGAAGAATGGTCGTTGGAAACACATCATCCTGTAGATTGCTATTGCTATTATTACTTTGATCAATCATCTGATCATTATATAGTGAAATAGTTGAATAACTTGATAATGGTGAACCATGACTCAAACTTGAAACAGGAATTTCCGATGTTAAACGGTGTGTGACACGAGGTTTCGGATGTCTTGAACGTTTAAATTCATCCAAATGTTCATTACGGTCATCTTTTATAAGCAAGTAATAATAGTAATGTAATTGAACAATCAGACGATGTTTTAACAACCATTCTACACAACGAAGACGTTCTCGCTACAAAATATATTTAGTTTTATATTAATCATTGTTAATTGTATGACAAATGTACATCAGTACTTACTAATTCATGATCCGTTTCACACTGAACACCATGCAGATGAAATGGAATAGAATCGGAATATTCAGCTAATGCTTCTTGCAATGTTGTATAACAAACTGTACTATGTTGAAAAGTTTGCGCATATAATTTTGATAATGAACTATTTCTTTATTATAAAACATAACAAAACAGAAATTAATCAAATATACATGTTTATTTTCGTTTTTCTTACTTTGATAAATCAGCATCGGGTGCTATTACGTAATAATTATCGTCAACAATTGGAAATATTATTTTAACACGTCCCCAATACAATAAATGGGCTGCTAGACGATAAATCTGGAAAACAGAAATAAGGTAGTACAAAAGAACAAATTTTAAGCGCCATGAGAAGTATTTACCTGTGTTAACGGAATACTTGTTTCAATTGATAACCGAGCCATTGTATACGATGAGCGTAAATGTTTCAAAAGAGTGTTTAATGTTGATGAACTATCCAAGGGTAACGATGACTGTAAAGACGACTGATCAGATAATAATAATAAACCATAATAAGGTCTTTTGAAACAAAGATGAATAATATATCAAACCAAAACAATAGTATAGTACTTACTTGAAAAAACGTTCAGCATTAGTTAGTATATAAAAGACTTTATCTTGAGACAATGAACAATTAATTGGCACTGAGCGATGTGGTAGACAACATGAAACTCGTACCCAATTATTTAGCATTATATTCACTTCACCAGCCATTTGCAAACTATATATGAAAAAGAATTCATGTATCAACCAACTTGACATATTTGCCGAATTCTCAATATTTCACTTACTCGATGTAAATTTGTTTTAATGTTTGCGCTAATGAACTTTTATCAAGCATTTGTTTATACGCCATATCAATCTCGTTTTCACGTTCTTTCCTTTCCTCAGGCTTCATCTCGTCTGTTTGAAACCCAAATTACAAACAAAACAACCATTAAATTTCTCTATGAAAGCAGAGATTATTTTCTATTTATTACCTTGATGTTCATGTAACGTTGGTTGTAAACACGCACTCATTGCATTATATTCTTGTGTAAGATATTTAACACGTTGCTCTTCCCAACGAATTGCTGTACCAATACACTTACTCAATGTTTGATAGGACAACAGTACAGAAGGTTTTGTAATAGCCTAAAACAATAGTCAATACGAACGTCCAGCACATTTCAATTAGAAACAAAAAGAAAATGCCTCGTACTCTTAATGCAAAATAAACACCAAATGATTTCAAATGATTTTCTTTTTCAACATCTGGAGCAGCTAATGTGTGACCCACAAAATAAACATCATCAACTTGTACTTCAAAATTTGAACCATAAAAATTATAGCCAGGATCGGTTAATGCTGCTATTGTGTCGCTCTGAAAACTATTTAATAAATACAAAAACTATAACAAGGCTAATACAAAAATTCAAAACTACTATACCTGCGAAATGTTCGACGAGCAGAATCCGTATCACTTATACTATAATATAAAAACAAACACAATGATACACAGTTGTTTCGAGTAGACTACTTACTTTGGTGGATCAAATTCCATATGAATAATTACTGAATAGGCTGCAAATGGACTATTCGTATTGTCTTAAAGATAATCAAGCTTGAAATAAGTGTCCTGACTAACGATGCAATGTACCTTTTTCTTTGTCATCGGTTTGATCTTCGTATTTAAATAATAATTTGTTTTTTTCACTTGCACCCTCAGCAACTAATAATATAGCAATTAAATCTTTTTCGAATGCCTAAAATTGATCAAATGTTAGTAATTCAAATGGTAACTGGGTCTTTTTAATGTGAAACTTGGTATGTACTATATTTTTTTATAGTTGACCAGCACAAACTCCAACGCAATGGATTGAAGATCACACGAACGAGTTGCTTTTGATTACAAATAACGTATTCTACAAGCTATTATAGCTATAAGGATATATTATACTAACCGATGATGGAATTTTTGTTACTGACTCGACATAATCATGTGCTGGATGCAGATCATCGTTGGTAGATGCTACACCAGTAAGATATGATGTAGGCCAACCATTAGATGTTGCCATAGATGTTAAAATTGTTTATTTTTGACAAAAAAAATACTTTATAGAATTATCTATAAACAAAATAGAAATGTTTGTCTTACATAAATACGAACTTCTTTTTTTTTCCTACTAAAATGTTCAGCTATGCAATAGGCAGTTATTTCGAGATAAACAAATTCACTAATTAACATAAAGCACAAAAGAAAAAAACAGTGAAAATACTGATAATTATAATAATCGATGAGAGTGTCGTTATCTAGATTTTCAATAAATAATGCACGATGTAATGTTTTTCCTGAATTTTTCCAATAATATTCAATTCTTTCTCTTCATTTGGGTTTAATTATTTATAACGTTTGAAAATTTATAACTGAACATAGTTTGGCTAAAATGTAGATCGTCAATCGTTGCTGTGCAGCTTGTATTAAAACTAATAATAAAAAACTGACAAGAAGAAAGGTTATCTTTTACAACGTTTTGATTTTTGTTTGATTGTGTCTTTTGTAGATGACGATGTTGATAAAGACGATGACAAAAGAAGAACACTAGGTGCACAACTTTTTTCTTTCAACGATTTGACTGATTCGTCGTCATTTTCATTTTTTGTGGGTGGTTTATAATCTTTAATCTGATCAACTCTTATTAGACATCTTGCTAGTTTAATACCATTGAAATTGTTCACAGCTAATATTGTATTACGTTGATCTTCATAATAAATAAATGCAAAATCTTTTGATTTACTTGCTTTTTTTATCACGTAGAATGTTTAGATTCACGATTTCGACCCATTTTGCAAATTTTTTTTATGAAACAGTTTTTTGTCACTTATCGCAAAAATACACGCAGAATATTTCCAACTGTTAGATGAAAATCTAGTCTGCCAATATATATATACCCATGCACTTTATTGATGCACATTATGCCAACTTTTTTCTGTATTTGTCGTACCACTTATCAATTCGTTTTCATTCAAGCTTTTCTAAACAAATCTGACAAACGTATGACGTATCTTCAATGTTGAAAAAAAATTACTTACGTGATTGAATTCATGGTATACTAATTTTCAAATTAGGCTCTAAAAAAAAGAGCTACTTAAACATAGAAAATTGCCACTTCTATAAGAACGAAGAAACTACTGCTTAACTTTCGTTCTATTTTCGTATCTTCACCTTTTTATCATCGTCCAATCTTCTTTGTTTTGGAAAATAACAATTTATCAGGCACTCTAGTTGATTAGTCCTCGTACCTATCCATAAAAAAGGCACTCTTGCCGATGTTTCAAACTATCGTCCTATCTTCCTTCTGCCTGTTATTTCCAAAGTTTCTGAGCGTCTGATTTATTATTTTCTTTTTTCTCATTTGTCTAAACATTCTTTTTTTTTATCTTCAACAGTCTGTAACTTTTGGAATTCTGGTGTGAAGTGTGTTAGTGTGTCTTTTGATTTCTCCAAAGCTTTTGACTTTATTTCCCATTCTTTTCTGTTGGAAAAATTGTCTCGCTGTGGTGTGAGTGGTTCCGTGTCTTATCTTTCGAACCGTTTTCAGTGTGTGCGTGTGAATGATTCTGTCTCTTCTCCTGTTCCTTCTGGTGTTCCTCAAAGCAGTGTGCTCGGACCTCTTTTATTTCTCATTTTTATAAATGACCTTCCTTTGTCTCTTCAACCTAACTATGAAATCTATTTTTTTGCTGATGATTTCCTTTGAATTATTCCTCTCTCTTCTGGTTCATCTGATTTCTTTCATGTTCAAAGTTGTATAAACTCTGTTTCTCACTGATCTTCTTCTAATCTTATGTCTTTAAATGTGTCTACCCAGGACAATGGTTACTACAGCGGTAAATGGCAGTATACTACAGTTTATGATGATGGATACTGTAGTATACGTCAAAATACGAGCTGTTTACGACGAAATACGATGACGTCTACCGTGGAGAAGGATTACGACGTCGTATTTTATCTGGAATGGATATGTATTTCGTCGTATTTCGACGTATACTATAGTTTACAGTCGTAGAGCTTCGACCTGGGTAAGTGTTCTTGGCTTCATTTTTCCTTAAACCTCTTTCCATTTGTTTATAATCAATTATAACTGAATAACGTTCCTCTCTCTGTTTCTTCTGTTCGCTGTCTTGGCGTTCTTGTTTCACACGATCTGAGGTAGAGTAAGCATGCTAGAGACATTGCTCTTGCTTGTCGGCGCAAGTTGGTAACACTGAGTCGTGTCTTTGGCTTAGCTCCGCTAGAGGTTCGGCGTCGAATCTTCTTCTCTTATATTCTTCCAAAAATTGATTATTGTTGTACCTTGTATAATAGTTCTTTTTCTCTCTCTCTGTTCTTGACTGTGTCAATAAACTTGCTTTTCGTGTTATTTCTCGCAATTTTGACTACCGTTCTTCTAGTTCTCTACCTGTGTCACAACTTTCTCTTCCAAATCTCTCACTTCGCCGCAAATTTTTTCGATTTGTGCAGTTTTTCAAAATTTATCATCGTCTTAGCCCTCTTTCTATGTTTTACTCTACTCATCGTCCTCATTACTCTTCTTTACGCTGTCATTATTCCAAATATGTCCGCATTCCAACCTCTGTCAATGGTTTTTCTTCTCAAACAGTTTTTTCCTATTTCATTTTTGTAGTTTGGCTGGAGTCCTTAATATTAAAGATTGGGGATCTTTGATGATTCTCACTTTTCTTGAATAAACTAGTCTTAAATCTTCTTTGTTTTGGAAAACAACGATTTACCAGACACTCTAGTTGAGTCTCTTATAGGGTCAAAAAGTAATCTCTCTCATTTTCTATTTGGGGAAGTTTATTTTTTTCTTACTTCGTGTGCGTGCGTATATTTACTTGTGTCTATGTTTTCATCCGTAACACTCAACAAAAATTGTTGAGTCTTTGGATTCTTTCTATTTCTACTAGATTTTATACAAAAACTAATGATATTGAGTGTGCATGACTTTATTTATCGGATAAATTTGACTTGGCTGTATGAGTGCACTGATACAAAAGTATAAAGTTAACAAAATAGAACGAGAATTTTTTACCTGATTCCTCTGACAAGAGAAAAAGACTTTCGTTTCATTTTCGTTCCACTTCATTCGAAGAGAGTACACGCCAATGTGATGAAAGTCACGGGTTTCGCTAGTTGTTTCAAATTATTCAGAAACCACGAATGCAATACAGAGACATCTCTCTGTTGCTTTCTCAATCTAAAATTTATTTTTTCATAATATAATTGTACTTTAACGGTGTAAGCGTAAGACCGGCAAAACATTTTTTTTCTGGTCTACAGGACGTTTGTTGTTTACAGCTGCCCGCTAATATAACTGGAAGTCTTCGAAAAAAGCCGACAAAAACATGAAACAAAAGAAACGCGGTTTTGAATTTGTGTATTCATACCGGTCATTTGATATTTTCAAATGGGTTCAGCAGGACATTCAAAAAGTCAGGAATTTTTTAAGGATGAAGACTCCTCTAGGACTTCAGAGTGAGTCCTCCAAGAAGATTCCAGAGTTGGAATCCTCCAAGATTTCTCATTTTTGCAGGAATTCATTCAGGACTGTCGACTAGGCGTACCTGAGCATGAACTTCTACGTAGTGAATTTCCTACAGTTTTTACACGTTTAAAGTGTCAGACTTGTATTATACCGCTATGGTAGTACAAAAGTTATTTATCCACCTAAAAATTTTAATTTACCATCAGTTCATCAGTCGAGTGCTACAAAAACCTAATTGATGCTGTTATAGTCAATAGTAGAATGAAAAGGAACATGCAATAGTGAAGCGTTTGCTGACAGACTTCCGCTACGATATTACAAAAATAAACACAATTACCCGTAGTACCGTTAACATCGATAAATTAACCGTACCTTTTGAAAATCAGTTTCAAACGTATTTTAGAGATAACCAAGATGTACGTTTAAAATATTTCGTTTCAAAATTTTTTATGGCTATTCTGTTGTCTTCTACAGTATGCATAAATAGATATTTTACCATAATCATGCCTTGTTTTAATAGCATGATATAGAGATCTGTGCATTTTTACAATACAATGGGACTATTTTTGACGCAATCCGGAGAGAAATTGAGTAAAAATAGATATTTTGATTTTCTTTTTAGAGTATTTAGTCTCTTCTATATCCTATTTACAGGAGATCTAAAACAAGAACTTTTACAAAACTGTAAGATTTTCCAAAAAGGTTCGAAAACTCGCCTTTCGTTAGATTTCTAAAACTTTTTCTAAAAATAATACTGTCACAAGACTCAGCATGATCAATTAACTTGTAATCTACCAATTTTCAAGGCTATCAATAGCCACTGGATGCCAGTCCTGAGACTCGTAGGGAATCCTATACAACGCTTGAGCTGCGGAAAATCAAGGTCTCGCTGGACTCCCGTTTTGAGAAGAATATTTTGGACTACCAATCCATGGAAAAAAGTCAGTACAGTACTACTAGAAAACTTTTACACACGGCCCAGTTTTTCAAAGATCTCCTCGAAAACCTATTTCAGAAATATTTTCTGAGACTTTTTGCTTAAGAAAACATGCCCCCAACTCTTCTCTTTTGCATGGCGAAAACCGGAGCTCTCTAGCTGCTTTCTATCAAAAGTTATTCAAAAAACATCGGACTGTCTTATATTTTGAAACATAGTAGACAATGCTGTTTTCTAAACTATTATTTCATTTATCAATGTCATAACCGTCATTTTTGATTCAATATATTGAACAGTCGCGAAATTTTATAGAGGATTACAGATATAATCATGAATGATCATTGTTTGCTCCGCCTTACTTATTCTACCAGACGTCTTCGTTATGTGAGGCTTCTACCATCTGTGCGAGAAACACAATGAAAGACACAATCGAAAGAGAAGCATCTGCGGATCTAGGATTAGACTCATGTTTTACTTGAGCTGACAGTTTTATATGAGAGAATTAGCAGTAAGAATCAAATAGCATGGCCTTGCCAATATTATCTACATTTTCTTATTGATTTTTGCATGAAACTTCTCACGCGTCTGTTTAGTTCATGAGATTGGTTACCTATGCTGATTATCAGACTATCAAAAGATTTCTTGAGCCTGGATTTGGACTTGCACGTCTCTATTATGTATCAATAGTTCTTCAAAATTTTCATTTATCAAATCCAGTTAGTCAGTCAAGAGTCTATGATGACTTACTGGCGGAGCATGGACAAGGCAGACCAATCTATTGATTTAGGTCAAATTCTAATCGGAGTTTGAACGCTGAGATATATTTATTGATGCATTCTTAAAACTTATAACTGTCTAACATATAGAGTTACATGTGGTTGATTATGTTCTGTCTTAACGAAAAGAGTTTATTCTAAAAATCTGGATATTTCTAAATAAAAATTGATTACATAAATGATTCAGAACACCTATTGTCTGATCATACCAGTTATTTTTGGTGGAATCTCTTAGTTCTCTGAACTGTTTCTACTGTTTACTTACTACCTTCTTGCTAAAAGCAGTAAAAACTTCTAAAACTTTCCAGGAGTCTCTGATCATTTTAGCTTGAAGCAAAAAGACAGACAAATCGCCATCTATTGACCATAATTTTGTGCTTTATTCTATAGGCAAAATGTGAGCGTTTTTCACAATCACAATATTGGAACAGATATTATATGATGATAATGGAATGGTAATATACAAAACAACAACAAGAAAAGCACTGTTCAAAAATTGAGATGTACAATAAATAATTCATTTCCAAAAAAGAACAACACGTGCACGTACACCACATGTTACATCACACACGATAAAAGCTTGAAGATTCATCAATTAGTTATTTAAAGAAAAAATATCAGATCATGGTGCTAATTTAGGACATTCTGAATGACTAAAGTTTCGCGGATGGATCATACCATTTTGTCGAATGACCCATTCATTTGCCAGATAATCAATTACTTCTTTAATATGCTTTTCTGAAATATCACCGTCTAGTTCAGCTAAATACCGATAGAATTTTTTCCATTGTTCAAATGGTATCCGTGCATTTGCACCTGGCGGATCACTTGTTAACAATTCACACAGTTTTGTTAACGTATCTGTTATATTCTAAAATAGAAGGAAAGACAAGACAATTTATTGCAACTCATGCAATAAAAAGCATTAACCAAAGAGAAATATTAATTACCCGTGCTAATTTTGAAACAGCAATCGCTAAAAAATTATCCCACTGTACGTCATCATGAAATGCACCTATTTGTACGATATCGTCAAATTGCTCACGTGGAATATTTAATTGATCAAACTTCTGTTGAATTTCCCCAAGAGACACCATATTTTTGGGTGACAGCTAAAATAAAACCAATGATCTGAAGAAGGTAAAACGTCGAATCCATCGGCAATTTTCAGTTTATAAAAATTCACCCTTTTGAATTTAAAGATAGTCTCAATATTCTTTCTATAACTGGAACGTAATCTAAAACGAATTGTCTAAATTTTCTGTCTAACTGAAAACGCTATTATGAAACAAGAAAAATAAACAAGGCAGCAAAAAAGTATGATCATTTGTCTAATGAATAAATATTAAGACGAAAAACAACATCTGATATCTCACCCCTGTTTACCTGTCTATGTAAAACTTTCAATAATCCAAGAGTAAGACCGGTATCCGTTTTTTGAGTTGCAACGGGCATTTCCAGCCTTTCTTTAACCGGAGGCGTCTCGCCATTCGTCAAAGCTCGGAAATATCTAAACATTTGAGAAAATTAAAACAAATCAGTTGTTTTTTAATACAATAAGTTCTAAAATCCTGTCTCATTCAGTATTTTCTCAATATCTCGGTCAAGATTGATCGCCAAGTCTCCATCTTTTTTTAAAAAAGGAACCTCATTCAATTCTCTACACAAAACATATTAAACATTTCTTTCCCTAGTGAATGTACTCATGCGTGAGTACTCAAAAAGTACTCTGCTGGAAAAACCGGACGAGTACTCATACGTACTCATGCATTTTGGGTACTCACTGAGTACTCACATGAGTACTCATGAGTGAGTAATGAGTACTGTGGATACAACTTTGAGTATTGTTGAGTACTCATATAACTTTTGGCAGAATACTCATATGTATTGTTCATCTGGTATTTTCATGTGGAGGAGTGATCTCAGGCAGCCGGAGTTGGACTACAAGTCTATTTACAGAAAAGTCCATCTCTGCGAGACCAGCGAGAAATCTTCGTTGGTGGCAGAAAAAAAGGTTTGTAGCGAACTTGTGATACGCAAAAAGAAAGCTGACATTCTGGACCATCAGAAAATACATTTCGATTCCACTGTGATGCATAGCACCGTGTTCAAAATAAATATTTTTTGGTTGCGCTTTGGGTTTGAAAGTAATCGATGTTGAAGCTTTCCCGTATTTCCTCGATATTTTTTTATTCTTATAGTATATAAAGAAATGTTTAATATGTTTCGTGTAGAGAATTGAATGAGGTTTCTTTTAAAAAAATGATTGAGACTTGGCGATCTATCTTGACCGAGATGTAAAGAAAATACCGAACGAGACAGGGCTTCTGGGTCACCCTTTATACTTACGCAGCACTCCATGCAAGAACATCAGTTGGCTGAGTTCGTATTGCAGCTTTGGAAAACTGTAATAATATATCAGGTAATTCAGGAGGAATCGGTATTTGTTCACTGCAGTAGTCTAAAAGAGACAAAAGCAGCAAGTCACAACGAAAACACATACCAATTGGAAATTTCTTCTTACATGGCTCATCTGGCATTAAAGACATTGTTCAGTATTATTCTTGCTTTTTCCTAGTGACTTTTCCTGTTATATCTTTTGTCCCGCATTAATATAATAGTATCATATGAAGCAAGCGGAAAGTTTTTAATTACCATTGTCGTGGATTACTGATTACCATGACATTTTTGCCCTTAGTGTCAACTACTTTTATTACACGATTTACTCATAATAAACTTGAATCTTGATGTCTTGAAAAGAATCGATGATAGAACCATTTAGAACCAGGGATTAATAAATGGAGAAGGAGAGACACCTGTCATCGAAACAAAACATTCTAATAAACAGCATATAGATTTTTGCTGTCTATTTTTTGAAATAACAATCATATGCAGACGATCGAGATAACTGGTCGTTTAACTTTGCTTTTTTAAAGTTAACTGCTACTATCGCCGCAAAAAGCATCGATAGTAGCGATTTAATAAGAGAAAATTTAACATTTCACCCTTATCTTCAAGATAAGGGAATCTGGGATGTGTGGGAATCTGTTTTTTTCTAAACAAAGCATTCGATGCTTTTTGGACGAGAGAAGGAAGATTTTTGAAGCATACAGTAGTTTTCTGAAAACTAACAGTTAGCTTCTTTTCGTAAAAAAAATTCAAAAGCTTCCATTCCTATTTATTGTATAAAGAACCTAGCACCTACAGCAGTCGGCCGTTTCACGAAAATGTTGACGTCGACTAATTGAAATTAATGAATACGTACCCCTAGTCGAGACTCCCGGCAAAACTCTCACGGGACTCCTGTCATGGGGTCCTGGAGGATCCTGTAGGAGTCAGGTGGGACTTTCAAGGGATTTCTCAGGACTCCTGAAGGCTTCCGTGGGACTTCTGTGGAGGTTTCGAGTCCTGCGGGAGTCCAACGAAAGTCCTCAGAATACTCAAAGTCCCACGGGAGTCTTCAGGAGTCCTGAGAAATCTCTTGAAAGTCCCACCTGACTCCTACAGGATCCTCCAGGATCCCGCAGGATCCCGTGACATGAGTCCCGTGGGAGTTTTGCCGGGAGTCTCGACTAGGGACGCTAGGGTCACACTACAGCGCTGTATCTCGTCTGTCTTAGGGGTATATCTTCATTTATAACCACGAGTTTTTTAAGTATTTTTAAAGAGTAGTTGTTCAGTTACGTGTTTTGCAGATAATTTCTTGATCAAAGACGACATCAAGCACACAAAGCGAAGGAAACGAAAATAGTGGGAAGAGAAAACGAAACAGCTGCATTGATAAACATTGAAAGAGGACAAAATCGCGCGTGAAATGGAAAGTCATCGAAATAGAAAGTCATCGGAATAGAACACTCCGTATTTATTTGCTGTTCTTAATCGCGATCAGATTTTAATCATGATTAGCGCAGACACATTGTTTATTTAACCGTGATTAAAATAGTGTTAATCATGATTAAAAAAGGATGTGGTCACACTACAAAATCGTTAATCATGATTAATTTTAATCGTGATTAAGTCTGTAGTATGATCCTGGTATACTTCTCGGGCACGAAAATAAATGAGCCCGGAAAAAAGAGAGAATTGATCTCGGTGGCTTTAATTAATAAAAAAAAGATGGAAATGAACTCGGTTCAAAAAGTAAAAAATTTATCTTCATAAAAGACAGAAATGAGCCCGATAATTTAGATTTTCCGTATAAAAAGAGAGGAATGAGCCCGGTAATTAAGATTTGTTAAAAATATAACAAAATAATCAGTTTAAGAGCATTCCTTTAAAATCAATCTTAGAAGCGCATATATATATATACCTTATATACACATCGCATATATATATATATATATAAATTGGCAATAAAAAATGGGAAGATATCCGGAATTAGTTCATATTTTTTCCTACAGGCTATGTCTCGAGGATTATGGCATGAATGTTCTACATATACTACTGAAAACGATCTAAAAGCTTTTGTTCGAGAAAAAAATGTTTGTATACATTGTACTGAAGAACTTACGAGTGGTGTATCTATAACATATAAATGTTCAGAATATAGAAAATATCCACAATTTTGTTATCAGTTGAAATCCAAACAGACAAATGGTAAGTTTTATATAGTTATAACTGTTTTGGCTTCTGAATTTATTTCATAGAGAAATAAAAAATAGCTATTTTTACTCATTTTTTTGTTAGCCAATTTACAGTTTTTGAATCTGAATTACATGATCATAGTCAAAGACAAGAAAATAATCGTCTTAAATCACCAATTCGTACTGCTGTGCAAGAAACGACATATAAAGGTTTAACACAAGGTCAAATTCGTAAAGCTGTATCAGTATTGCAGCCTAATTTAACAATTGATACAAAAATTAAAAATGTGCTACAATATACACGTCAGCAAACCCGTGCTTTGTAAAAGATTGTAAAAGAATGCTCTTAAATTGATAATCTTATATATGTACTACATCATGATGTTTAATTTTAATCACGATTATATATACATGTTTCTAAGATTGATTTAAAAGAATTTCTTGAACTGATTATTTTGTTATATTTTTAACAAATCTTAATTACCGGGCTCATTCCTCTCTTTTTATACGGAAAATCTAAATTATCGGGCTCATTTCTGTCTTTTATGCAGATTATTTTTTTATTTTTTGAACCGGGCTCATTTCCATCTTTTTTTTTATTAATTAAAGCCACCGAGATCAATTCTCTCTTTTTCCGGGCTCAAAACTTATTTTATCCATACTTCTCCTCATCTCTAATTCATTTCTGAAATTAGACGATGGGATATTTTGATATTCACTCTTTCTGGAACGTAAATTATTGCTAGTTGAAAGTGTTTGAATAAAACAGACTCGAAATTATATATATATATATAATAAATCGAAATTTTATCCGATGTTTCTGTAATCTTATCCGTCATTCACATTTTTTAATTCTCATTAAAAGTCATTTTCAGAATCTAAAATGGAAACTTAACGAAAATGTTGATGAAAATGCTGAGAAAAGTTAGAAATACCTGAAAAAACACGGGTTTTTAAAAAATTCATAGTGAGATCTAGAGAAAGTGTCATTAATACTATATAATATATGCATGGTGAGTTTGAGAACCTTTGAGTAAAATTTCGACCAAATTGAGTATGTAGAAAAGTTTGGAAACACCATTTTTCGCTTGGAAATAGATTTTTCTCTTGAGTTTTCGTCCAAACACGATAATTGTGTCGTCACAGTATCCTGTTCTGTTATTAATGCCGTTATTTGTATATATTTAATCAAGCTGGCTAACAAAAAAATTTTCGCTGTACAGAACGATGATTTAATATGAATTTTTCCACTGTTCCAATACAAAAAAAATTTGCTATTCTTGGGAAAGATAGCTAACACATTCACTTGTACAATCTTTCAGTAAAAGAACCGTAAACTTCGGATTTTTAGTTACATGTCCGCATGGTTGCTTATTCTGAAAGTGGAAGAGCTATTAATCTAACAAACATGTGACTTTTTCTGTCTCGCGTGCAGGATAGTTTTTGGCATAGATTAATGAATTATCAAAATGTTTTCTGGTTCACTAGAAATAATATCGATTAACTAACGGTTCAGTTATTAGGTGAAGAAAAAATACCGTTCTAAAATCTTTCTCGTAGATGAAATAAATCATTCAAAAATGTTTTAAACTCATTATCATTTGACTGTTGCTAGTGTTGTACAAATAAAATATTCGAATCATTAAATAGTTTTTCATGATAAGAGAAACCAATTTTATTTTTCATATAGCTTTAACAGAATATTTTTTGTTTTTAAAGCAAAATCATATTCTGTTTGTTGATAATGACAATTTGAAACATTTTTTACGCTGTAGTGGATCTCTGGTTAATAACAGACGCTGAATTATTTCAATCATCGTGAAATTTTTATAATTTTATTTCAACTTCTGAACGTTATTTTTAGTGTTAGACTTTCGGTTGAGCAAAAGTCAAAGAAACAAAAATTTAATAAGCAAACAAAATTAGACACAAAAAATGTAGGACACATAAAAGAATGAGCGAACATAAGTCATGTTATTAATCAAATGAAAAACAGAACCATTATTAAAAGCACGCTCAAGACCGAGTACAGTACAGTATGTGTTTGCATCTCTAGTATATCAAGTAAAACATCCGTACCATTATATTAAAAATGAACTTACAAGCATCCAGATAAAAAAATAACAGATATGAGCACTGTCAACCTTTGGTATGTGCTCTTCCTTATCTGCATTGGAAAAAGTTTTAATCAGTTCTAGTCAAAAAAAAAATGTACACATACAAAAACAACTTCACTATATACAAAAAATACGAACAACTTTGATCATAAATCTGCAATAGCACAACGAGATTAACAACACAAAATTCTGAGCAAAACAATAGCGAAGAGCATACGTCTGAGGTTTATTACATATCAGAATAACAAACAAAAAGATTTAAATATAACGAAACAACAACAACAAATTAAATTGGTTTTCTATTTCAAAAAAATAGGAGAAAAGATGATTAGATATCTAATTTAATTTCTATAGAGTCATGCGATTTTTTTCTTAATATTACGCCTATATCACCTAAACTTGGACGATATTTTAGATTGAGCAGAAGCAAAAACTGTGAAAATAAGAGTATTATATATGATCTCAGATCATTATTTGCTTTTGCGTATCTCATCATCCACGTATAATCAATATTCGGATTTAAGATCAGGAGTTGGTTTTAATTCTTGAATATCCTGATAAGGATAATACGGATTTGTTGTTGTTGTCGTTGATGGTAACAGCAAATGATCATCCTTCGAAAATGAAAGAGAAAAAACGTTTAACTTCAAATCAAAGTAGTGAGAATAACAAACGTACAATTCCTTCTTCTTTCTTCAAATAAAGTGGAAATTGAATTGTCGTCGGTAATGGTTCTTCATCATCGATCAATACAAGGTCTGCTTGTGGCTGTTGAGTTTCACACGGATATGTCATATCAGTTTGAACAGATTGTTCGACTAGTTTTGTTTTGTCAATTGATGAATTTGTGCGAGCCTAAATGAAAACAGATTTTTCGATTATTGTGAAATTTTTTTGTTTACGATACGTTTTATTCAATAAGAAGCTCTGAAAAGATGTCTCTTACCGACGATTGTTGTTCGTCCAAAGCATTTAATGATAAAACAAATTCATTATGACTACCACTAGCACTACTATTGAATCCGACTAGAAAAAAAATGAAAATAATTTATTCATTGAAGGTAAGAAACCAGACGATAACTACTTACGTTTCTGAGCTTTTCTTAAATTATATCCAACATTAGTCAAATCATTTTCATTTGTATTCCCATCAGCTTTCCTTTTTCTTCCATCCGCTGTTGTTCTACTACCACTGGTCTTTTGTTGTTCTTCTTTGAGATGTGCAGCGCATAAAAAGCCACTGTTTTGTGTTGCCCGTTTTAAACACGTGTTATTTCGACAAAGTGAATGCCAAGAACGACCGTCAAACATTTGTCGAAGTGTTTGTATATCACCTTTATTTGGATGTAGAATTGAATTATTCAGAGTATTTGTTGTTGTTGTTATAGCTGAAGTTGACGTTGACTGCTGGGTTTTACCAATGTGATTAAGTTTGTTGGCTCCTCCACCTACATCTTGGTTCGCATGTTTTCTACATTGTCGTCGAGTAACAGCAAAGGAAGGACAATTTTGGCGAATACACCTAAAATAAATATGATTTCAGTGTGCTGTGCAAATAATAGGAATGAATAGACTTTACTGACATGAGTCGCCACGCACCCCCGCTGTATTTTCTCCGCGTGCCATCATTCATATCAGTGATATCTCCCGCCTTTGGCTGTTTAAGATTTGGATTGTTAGTATCCATCGGTTTAGCGGGTTGTCTTTTTAATCGTCTTGTTAAGGGTACACGTCTGCGTCTTCTCCGTTTTTTTAACGTTGGTTTTGATTGAACAGGTTGTTTTGGATTTTTTTGATTAAAATGCTTTAGACATAAATCATTGCCGTTATATAAACTGGTTATAAATGATAAACAGTTATTTTCAGCACAGATTCGTCGAAATTTTTTTCCATCATATTTCATTCTTATTCCGTTTTCCATTAGCCGAACTTCGCCTTTCGTTGCTTTTGCCAATTGTGCAACCGGCAAAGAGGAAGAGGATGCTGTTGCTATTGTTGTTGCTGGATGATTTTGATTTTGCTCTTCTAATAAATGTTTCTTGCATAATCCAGATTTGACTATATTAAACGAGCAATTCGATTTTGAACATATGCGTCGAAATGTACTACCATTAAATCGTTCCCTAACACCATCTTTTTCAATTATTTCACCATATGGTGAATTTCCTTCGTAATCACGACGTTGACGACCATTTTTTCGTTTCAGATCATCAATTTTTTCTAACATTTCGTCATTGCTCCTATTCACAAGAATTTTTGAGCTCGTTGTTTCGCTAGGCGATGGCAAATAACTTAATGGATCGGCAAGCGAAATGGACATATTGAATTATTGAACTTAATATTACCAAAAGATCTTTTTTAATCTAAAATTCATTTAAACAAACTGATTGATATAACAGTCAGAAAAGTAGAACAAGCTTAGATTTATTTCCTACTGCAGGCTTTTAAAAGTCGAAAATGGACGGTAATGCAATTTTCATGAAGTAACTGTGACATTTGAAACGAAAAATGACTGTAGCAGATTATTTAGGATTGTACGCGATATTCCATTTCTGAAGCACACCCAGAAAAGGTTTACAGGCTCCATATGTCTCTGCAGTTAGTTTTCTTTCCTCTATAATCAGTTAATCTCAATACACGGTAGAAAAAAAGAGAGAGATGATGTACGAAAGTGATAGATATAAGGAACATCTCTGTCTTTATGTACATGGTATTCCAGGATAAGGTTAGAAGCGGAGAATTCAATTGCAAAAAATCAGACATACAGAGTAAATTTATGTGAGATGAGCATGTAGGAAATCGAAAAATTTGAATAAACTTCAAAACTATTGAAATTTAAATCTTTTGAAACGATGTAGTAACTGAAGATTAGCATGCGATAAGTTTCACTGCCTTCATGCATGTAGAATACAGTGTCTGAACATCATTAGGATATCCCCTAATTGAACTCCTAGTGTGATGAGTAGTTGGGCAGAACTAAAAAAGATACGACGGTCCATCGCTCTGCATAGTTTTATGAAAAAAGCACATACGCCGTAATTACAACAATTAAGAAATTTTAAGAACCGTGCAAGACCTTGAAAATTTTGATTTGAAAAGATTCTTGCATCTTAACAGTGACAGCAGTAAAACTGGCTTGATATCAGCACTGGCTCAAACAAAGTATGTTAGGAATGACAGTATCACCATAAATAACAGCGATGATTTTTATTTCGTCACTGGAAATGCTCAGGATGATTACCTCAGCTAATGTCGATGCTTTCTACCATAGACAAACCCTATCCCGACTGAGGAAATGGTATCCCCATATCCCAGGCCTCAATGTGCGGTGAAACATCGTCATTAAACAGTTCACAAACAGAAACAAGACTTTCCGATAAACATTAAAAAAAGGAGAAGACTAAACACATTCCTGTTCAGCACTATACATAAAACTATTGGAGATCTCATAAAGATCTAGCAATCACAATAACTATCCATCTGTTCGATAGATAATTCCTGAATCAATCATGATTTGACTGAATGTACTCAGAAGATTTTGTCCTACTACATGTTATCTTTTCAGTTTCAGTTGTCCATACTATTTATACAATATAATTTGACGGTTATGCTGAAAGTCACGTACTTCGGAGGTACAATGTAGTAACCTTGAGAAAGTTTCTTATGACTATATCGAATCATCCATTCGACAACATAGTTCTTCTGGCTTGCCAGAAAGCTATTTTGGAGTTAGCTTGAATAATACTTCGTCAGGATACATTTCTCTCCGCAGCTAGAACTGATGATTGTATAAACAATAGATGACTATCTTCGAAGATCATCTATTGCAAGAAAGGTATCGTGTAAGTGAATCTACTTGATGCAAGTAAACAAGTTTCCTCACCGACTAAGCCTTTGAACAAGAACTTGGCAAGTGTTTTTACTTTCCAAGTTCTTGTCTAAGTACTTGTTGGGTATCGTCACTTGAATCGCTTCAGCCAGTACTTGGATGAGTGAATCACTTTTCTTTCGCATTGGCAAATTGTATATAAACGTCACAATATAAATCAGTATACACTTAGAAGAAAATAAATTTCGATGTTTCTACGGAATTGAACAGACTGCATGCGTCTGCTCTACAAAAGTAGAGTATGCAGAATACGTACAAAATACAGATAAATGGAACAAGTACTTAGCTCAAGTACATCCACTACGGCAGGTTGCTCTAAAGTGACCATCAGTCATCTTCAATAACAATGAAAGAGAGTGATTTTCTCATAAATTAAGCTAATAATTAAATTGTGAATATCATTAGCTTTTTGAACACTGCGATTGTTCAATACACTGTCTCGAAAAGCCATAACGAAAGTGTAGCAGTAACACACTAAAAGTGTTGCAATGCCATGAAGAAAGTTAACTGCTACACTTTAACCAAGTTTTCTATAATCACAACAAACACAGCTGACATGCATGGCAACTCAAACTCGAATGTTTGCTGCGTTACATATCCCTCTGTCTAATGTAAACTTGAATATGCCAGCTACAAAACTCAACCTGTTCTTTGTACCTTTTATAAATAGGTTTTCTATCCATAGTTGTTTCATGTAAGATAAACAAAAATAAGTTGAATCTCTGAGTAATAAAAATCTTTCCACGAAAGAAGCAGGAGAATAATTCGGTTGAAACCAGTGACGTATAGTACATAAAACAGAGAAACACCGAAGATTCAACTTGTTTTGTTCACTGAAGAAATCAAGTGTGAATCGCTACACTTTTAAAGTAGACCACCCAGTCCAGTATACTGGATATCCTAATGCATGTACTGACTCCAAGGTATCTGAATCGATATCCTACTACCGACAATGTTACAAGTCTTTTTGATCCCTATGGCACTTTTGTGTAGCAGATAACTCGATTGAGTGTATACTTAGTAGTACTTGGACTACAAATATTGGTCTATAATCTAATGTGATCTCTGCACAGATCTATTCAGTAGACTCACTAAGATATACCGCCGTCGAAAAGGCGAAGCACTGTAAAAGTGTGGCGTCGAAACGCTTTTGGTCACAAATGCCTGTGCTCAGTGAATGATGCCATGTTTATACCATAGTACCCTACACCATTGCAATGATTTTCTGCATCAGTGTGGACGTGGTTCAGTTTTTTCAAGATATCCGGAGGAAAGAGAGCTAAAAGACTAGACGAATAAGTCCGAAAATGACCTATGCTTGTGTTTTTTCGTTTCTTTGTGTTTATTATCATTATATAGTTGGGTTGTGTTAAAATGACCCGTTGAATAAATCATTCAATAAAAAATCAGCAAAGATCCTTTACTATGTTGGTAGATGGCGCAATGTCTTGCAGACACATCATAAAAACGGAGACGCATTATTGTAAAGAAACGTGACAGTACAATTTTAAGTTTGCTTTCCATATCCCATTCCCATGATCTGTATTTACTGGCTGCTCCAACTGTTCTTCTTGGCGAAAAAAAGGTATGTTTAATAAAAAGCTGCATATCACCGGAAAAAAAATAAAGGTGGTTTTGAGGTGCTGAAAAGTGCTTTTTCGTATTCAGTACACTTGATACTCCAGAAGATTTTCTATTTTTGACGAGGGATACTTCCAAAAGTATAGGAAAAATGTTCAAACTAATATTATTTTCCTTATGGAAATTTTTTGGGCCATTATGTTTCAAAATTTTTCCTAAACTTTTGGAAGTATCCTTCGCTCAAAATAGAAAATCTTGTAGTTTATCAAGTGTGCTGAATACGAAAAAGCACTTTTCAGCACCTCAAAACCAACTTTATTTTTCTGTTCCGGGGATATGTTTGTTGCGTCATTGCGTGGGGTGATCAAGTCTTATTTTTCAAAAAGCTTAGAATTCACGCTCACGACGCGCAAAGTTTTTCTTAAAGCTGCGATCACATTCGGATCACGGAGTTACACCGTGACTCACTCTAGCGACTCGCGTCAAGATAGTTTTTTTAGTAAAGTTTTAAAATCATGCCGCGATCTTTTACAGCAGCGAATGGATGATTCGATATAGTCATAAGAAACTTTCAAGGTTACTACATTGTACCTCCGAAGTACGTGACTTACAGCATAACCGTCAAATTATATTGTATAAATAGTATGGACAACTGAAACTGAAAAGATAACATGTAGTAGGACAAAATCTTCTGAGTACATTCAGTCAAATCATGATTGATTCAGGAATTATCTATCGAACAGATGGATAGTTATTGTGATTGCTAGATCTTTATGAGATCTCCAATAGTTTTATGTATAGTGCTGAACAGGAATGTGTTTAGTCTTCTCCTTTTTTTAATGTTTATCGGAAAGTCTTGTTTCTGTTTGTGAACTGTTTAATGACGATGTTTCACCGCACATTGAGGCCTGGGATATGGGGTCCTGACGAAGTATTAGCCAAGCTAACTACATAATAGCTTTCTGGCAAGCCAGAAGAACTATGTTGTATAATTTATGTGTTTCTTTTATTGTAAATAAAATTAAAAGCATAACATTTTGGCACAAATTTACTAAGACAGAAGATGATAAAAAATAAATAGCTATGCTGGATAACGATAAAAGTGACAAACATTGCTTGGTTATATATGAAAACAATGAGTAAAGAATCACGTAACATATCTGCAAACTTATTAAGAACTATTCTAGTAGAGGAAAGAAACGCTGGCTTAAATATGTAAGATTTTCTTGTAAGATATGTCGCAGTGGATAAAAATCAAACAATTCAATGCCTATTTTTGCACTCACACCTATCTTTAATGGTCTAATATACGTAAATTTCCAGATACAATTTTATTTTCAAGTATGGCACCTTGAGGTATGTCAATACGTTCACCATGATTCGCAATAATAATAACCGTACCCTAAAAACAATAAAAAGAAATGGGTTCTATTATTACTGCTAAGACATTTTGTGATAGAAATAAGAATCAGTCGTAATTCCTGATCTCGACTTGATCGGAACAGACCCACACAAAGTTTTCAAAGAATCTGATGATTAAATATTCACTTACTCTTAATGATACTCCTTTTCCGAATGTAACATCACCAGATACCGTTAAGCTATCCAATTCAAGACAGTCGGGAATACTTTGGAAACGTGACAAGAAATCTTTGACCTATTGATAAATACATAATAAATAAATATTTTATTCTAAACAAAAAATTATTTCACATCTGTCATTCTTACTTTTGTAAAACTACTGCCTAATTTAACTAATGGCACGGAAGGAAATGAACGTTGTGGATTCATTACCAAATTACCACGATTTAATGTAAACAAATCGCTCATCACTAATAGTAAATCAGATGTTGTTTTAACCGGTAAAAATCGTCGTCTTGGCACATTAATGCCTTTTATTAATAAAAAAAGATAAATGAATTAATTTCTTGAAATGATGGTTAAATTAATTTTACCAATTGCTCCTTCAAAATTTTTTATTGCTGCACCACTTGCCGTTTCTAATTGTATTACATTAACACCTTTATCTGTTGTCTAAAATTTTCACCATTATCACCAGATATTAGAAAGAAAATACTGATCTTACTTTATTATTGACAATAATTTCCATATGTAACGCTTGTTCTTCAATAACACGTTTAATAGCCGGTAAATTGATCCAAAGATTATTCGTATTGAATATTCTGTTAAAAAGAATAACATGTTAAAACTATCAGTATGATAATAAAACAAGCATACCTAAATTTGCTTACACTTTTGAATTCATCAACCTAAAAATAAAATAAATTCCATTTTTGAAACTTAAATTGTATATAAAGATTACGAATTTACATGCTCTTTTGGAACTTGAGCTATTTCAAGAAGTCGTAATTTGTCCTGATATTGAATGAGTGTACCACCCTAAAAATATAAAATCAAAAATATCAGATATGCTGATTAAAAGTAATATACTCTACATTAATCTTACTTTGACATCAGCACGTGTTTTATCTGTAACTTCCATGACAAATTCGTGTTTTATTTCACTTGATAATAAATATTTCAATATATCTGTTTATGTTATTCAAAAAGACGATATTATCAAAATCTATTATTCAACGATCTGTCAACTTACATAAATCAATTGTTGCACCCAAATTATCAATATTTGACAAGAACATATACTCTTTTCCTTGTTGAATAAACTGATCTAATAGACCCGATTGATAAAATGACAGATACACATCACCGTGACCTGGTGGATACCAACTAAAAATGTTATAAATGCAATAATCAGTAAAAGGATAATACAATGAAATAAAACGTACGTACCATTCATTTTCAGAATTTGTAATACTTTTTGCTATTGGTAACATTGTTTCACGATCAATACGTGGATGTCTAAAACAAAATAAATAAACATAAAATGAAGAATTGAGAGTTTAACACATATGGTAAACATACTTGGATTGATTAAAATTGTATATTTTAACACTGACATGAAAATATTTTTGTAATACTTTTTCTGTTTCTTCGTGTGTATTAAACGAATTCATTAATATCAGCGGTACATCACAGCCATAGGTACGATTTAGTTGCTAGAAAGAAAAGAAAACGTAATTTTCAATAATCGTATGAATGAGGAAGATGAGCCGTTTACTTCTAACTGTTGAATTGTTAAATCTAAAAATGTTAATCCACTTCTAACTGATATCACACTTTTTGGTCCTTGACAACCCATTGTTGTACCTAAACCACCATTTAATTTAACAACAATCAATCGATTTAGAATATCTTTAACATCGTCTGTTGGTAATTCTAATAGTTTTTTGTATGGAATAACCTACAATCAATATTATAACAATTTTTAGATATCAATCAATCAATCATAGAGGAAAAGCCTTACTGTTCCTTCTGGAGGTGGTTCAATTTCTTGCCAGTCGATACCCGAATCAACATTATCAAGTAAATATTGACTAAATAATTTTTCAAAACCATCTAATTCTGTTCGAACGGTCTAAAGACACAACAGTATTTTTAATATATTTGATTAGTTTTTTTTTTATTTCATATACTTTTTGTGTTTGCGGTGGAGCTGTTAATACTAATTTATTCAATTCTTTCTGTAGTGTATTTAATGCATCTTTTTTTGTTAAATCTTTAAATGCTGCAAGATCTGTCTGACTTGGTGTACGTTTATGTAACGGCTAAAAACAACAGAAATAACCGTCAAATGGCAATCATACGACTAAAAGAGTGTGAAAACATAATACTAGGAAGTCACATTATACACACCTCCACTTTAACTGAAGACCAGAAAGAGAAATCCTGACAAAGAAATTGTCTACAGAATTCACTATTATTCTGTTTTCATTAGAAACTTCTGCAATTCTGAGTAGTATTGTAGTTACCTTACAATACATAAAAAAAATAATAAGTCACAACTAGAGTATCAACTGTAGTGCAGCTGCTTCACTTGTCCTCCATAGTTTCATCCAATCTATCACGTTTATACTTTTAGTATAAATACCAACAAAAGTTCATAAATAGAGAATAATAATACTAAAGAAACTTGATAAAGTTTTTCTGGTAATGAAAAGACGAATAATGGCAAGGTCCTAGAGACCAACATCAGTATTAGGTTAAGTTTTAATTTTTCATTGGTTAAGCACCTCATTTATTATTGGTTCATCTGAATCATGTAAATTTGAAAGCGAGCTGAAAGAACTTTGACGAAACATTTTTTGTAGATGTATAGAACAGCCAGATTAAAATTAATGGAGAGAAGAAGGTCGCCTAAACTTAATCAACCGTGCTTATCAAAAGAAAGAAAGAAGAAAAAGTAGAACGAAAGACTTTGTCTATATCACATTACTGAAACACAGGGATACAGCCGTTGCAATCATAAACGCGTGAAATTTTTTTGACAAACTTTGTATGAAATAATGAAAAATTTAATTGCTATGTAGAAAAAAAGAATAACCAAACAAAAAAATAAACTTGTAAAGTTTACAGAAGAGCCTATTGGGCTTTCATATAAGAGGAGCTCGTGCTCAAACTTCATGTACTGATAATCTATGATTAAAAGTCAGTAGTTAGGGCTTTTCCCCTCAGAAATTATATCCAACACCGTACATCCGATTTTTATGAAATTTTTCATAGATGTTAGGTACAATGAGTTATGGAAATGGATTTTTTTTGTCTCCAAGTCTTATCACTTAGAAGTTTTTCAGAGATCATGGTTCAAAAAAGACCTTGAAGTTTTTTCCAAGATTTTTTAATATACTTCACGCTAAAGAGTTCGCGTTTGTTTTATTTTAAACTACATCTAACTCATTGGGTGACCAGCGGCGACTTTTCAATTAAGCCTTTTGTTCGTTTTCTAGATATCCAACAACCTCAAACTTCCACATCTCTTTTTGAGCTTTCTAGCGATCCATGATTTTCTAAACAACTAAGGTCTAATTGAAAAATCAGCTCCGGTGAGCCCACGTAGAATTCTAGGCTCTTTTGATTAAAAAAAGAAAATCTCTCTACGATGAACCATTATTGAAAAAAGCGCCGTACTGAGCATGCTTGCACAAAAAGTGTTCTAAGAGAAAACACTATGTATCGGTTGATCCATTTTAGGACTTGTAGGAAAATACTTGTACCTTTTGACGTAAGGTCATACAGAGTTGTGCGAGGTCTTATTCTGATCAGAAAAGTTGCAAATAAATCTACCCGTTCACCAGGTAAAAACTATTATTAGAGGATCCTGTTTTTCCAGGCTCCTAGAAAACTTGCTCGAAAGCCACGAAAAATCACTTCTAGGACCGAAAGCGATACAAATTGTGAAAATAGACACTTCAGGCTATCTTTCCATATGCTTATCTCAAAATCGATTATTTGACCGAAAATCATCATTTCTCAGCTCTTAAACTGACACGTTCAGAACTGTGAGAAAGACTTTGAAAACCCTTTTGAAAACTTAGTGGTTCTTATGTAATACGTAAGGTAACAGAATAAAATGGTGAATGAAAAGATCCGAGTTCGAGTCATTCTGTCTACTTCCTGAACAGTGAGACGTTCCTTCACTGAAAAGGAAATTTTAAGTAGACTCTCTAAAGAGTGTTGAGTAATTTGATAACTTCCATTGTTCAACACTGAAATTCTACGTCTGTATCAATTAACTGTTAAATAAAGACTTTCTTTAAGTAAACACTTTTAAGTTATTCGCTGAATTTTATCGGGTTAGTACTCTGTATAAGGCTCTACAGCATTTGGTGAAAATATACTCCTTAGTGCAATTTCTATAAACTAAGATTAGACTTCTTGTACAAGAAGATTCACCACAGTTGCCAGCTAAAGACTTTTCAGGAGAGGTCTTATTTTCGGGAATGGTATCCCTGGGTAAGGACGAAAAACTGAAACGACGAAAGTAAAATGGGCGAAAATCCAAAATGGCGAAGATAAAAACGGCAAAAGTGAAAATAGCGAACATGGAAATAAAAGATAACGGATACTGTAAATCCATAAGTTGAATAAGATCTTTTGCTACAAAAATTTTGCGGGATGGTTAACGAAGATAGTAATGCTTTTTAGTTCATTCATTCCCACTTAAGTTACTATATATTCTAACTTCTTTTGTTCTTCAAAGTGAAATAGTTTGATCTCTTTTATTCTAAGTTTATGAGTCTGAAGTAATCAAACTACCGCACTTTCTAAATAATGCTACTCACCCTCACTTCACATGTATCATAACACTATATTTTCAAAAAATATAGTCGACACAAAGCAAAAACCATTTTTTGAAAATATAGTGTTATGATCACAAAGCAATGATATTGCACCTATTTTTCATATACAACAGTAATTGAAACAAGTTTAGTGTTAAGAACAAAAAACCAACTATATATTGTATGTACTAATTAATCAAAAAGGATTGCGTCGTTG